CAGGCAAATCTCGGTCCAAGCTGCGAGTGTTTGTGGAAGGCTACAAGGAAGCCAGATCTCGCAATAAGGTTCCAGTGGTCGGACTGTGATGTGAATGAAGACCTCTTTTGCTCACTTTCAAATGACGATCCTTGAAGCTGTGAAGCTGCTGCAGTGTGTCGTACTTTCCTAACTGCGGCTGCGAGCAACACGCTGCTTCCTTCGGCAAAATCCGCCTTTGACCTCCCTTCGCCTTGTATGTCGTGCAGCCTCAGCAGCCAACCTATGCTTGCCACATACCAATAATATGTCTCTGGACACTGTTGTGACACCCGGTGACCCCTTCAAGACGCTCTGAGCAGTGTTCCCACCACAACCCATTTGCTCACAGACAACACGGCTTGAAACAGTAAAAGAGGCTAGTGGCAATTATTTCAGGTTGACAAGCAAAGTTAGGCTATGCAAGTTATTAGCATGTGCACTCAGTGTTGTCGACTGACTCACCTTTGTTCACCGACTCATCCCAATCATCTGAGCACTCACGGGCTATAATGAGCACAAACCATCTGCATCGTTGATTAGCCCCATAGGGGCCATCGACGGTGAAATTGAACGAAGCAAGAGCCAAACCGGGCACTTCGCCGTGCCCGGGTCCCCCCTCTGAAGACATCCCGGATCGACGGTGCCCAAAAGGCTGCCACCTCTATGGACGGTCTCGATGAAAACCCTGAGTTGGGTGGGATTGTAGCCTCGCGCCGCCCCGCGACCGGACCCTCATGCATATAGCACATGGTCGCACAGGCATGGCCGCTTATCGCTGCGCGGCCGGCTTATTCTGCAGCCCAGAATGCTTGGGCCTCTTCGTCTTTGGCAGGAATGGCGGCACCTTCATGGACTTCCACTGTTTCAGCCTACACTTGCTCACATCCATTTGTAACCGCTGCCGTCTGATGACTAAGACAATGAGCTGTAGCGCTTTTCATGGTGCAGCTCTCTAGATGAGGCGCTCAGCATGACATATACTTCATCACCATCGCCTACTCATCATTTGCAATCAAGCTTCAAACAAACGTGCATAGGGACAAATGCATGGGGGCAGGAGCATAGCTCCCACTGATGGTCCGGTCATTGGGCGTGTAAATTCTTTCAAGTCAGGGCGCAGCAGAGTGGTGCGCAGGTCAGTGAAAACCATTTTCAAGACCGCCCTCTCAGAACGATTCAAATGTCTTTCTTTTGAGCAGCTGGCAAGACTCACTGCATTGCCCACTAGGACTGCTGCTGGCTTGTTTGATGAGACTGAATGAATGAAACACGGGACCATTTCGTGTACAGCGAGCATGTTCGTTTGCAACTTCCGGTTTTGAGTGCATGGCTAAGCAACCTTGTTTCAGTAACCGTTCTTTACGGCGTGGTCAATTCCAGCTTGGCAAGCTGGTATCTACCTTCCCTTGAGAGTAAGTCAAAGACAAACCTGCAGCTTGAAAACAGTTTACTTGCCACTGCTTTTCCAAGCAAATCCAGGACAGTGAGGCCCAACAAAACCATGCCCCAAAGAAGGACCTTGCCCCCCCTTGCTACTTCTTAAAATTTGACCGCTGTCAAAAACAAGTGTCTGCATGGAATAAGTGCATCCAAGGCACAGAAAACTGACCCTCCTAAGACCTGTTGAGAAAGTTTTTGAAAGAGACCCAATGCGGCCACAACTCTTGGACCTCTGACAAGAAGCTACAGCTTTTAGACTCATCAAATTCTCTTGCTTCTTACAGGCAGGACAAAGATGCGTGGTCTCCCCCGAGCCTCATATTTGCAGCAAGTAAACCTGCTGTTAACCAGGCCCAGTCAGGTACTGAAGCAGCGCTGAGTTAGTGCTAGGTTAGTAGCAGGCAAATATGATGAAAGCCGGGGTACACACAATCCTCCACCATATCAACCAGCTAAACAACCATAGAGACCACCTGCAACGCAATGTTTTCAAAAATGGCGTCGCACCTAGTTCCTAGGCTCAGCCTCCTAGTGGTAGCTTTCGCAATCTGTCCTAGCTATGCTCGGATCATCTGCCAAGCCCCATGTGCTGATGCGAGCAACTCGAGCTTTGCACGCGCTCCGGTCAGCGGGACGGCGCTCGATGAGTATGTCGCCAAAGTGGATGTGGCTTACGGGTGAGGAACAAGAGATCGACGCACACGCGAGCTTTGGTGAAAAGCTTTCAATGTCCATTTATCAAAGCGGGTCTGTCTATGGCTGAGAAATAGGAAAACCCATAGAAAGACGCTTCTCCTCAGAAGCACATGCTTTTGGAGGATCTTGGACCATCTTATGCTCCTGGCATGTCCTTATATCAGATATGCAATCTAGCTCTAGCTGCGCGCAGGATTGAATAGGGCACGGTGTCTTTTGTGAGTAAATCCGGTTGTGCACCTCTTTGTTCTGCTCACTTGATGGAGCCTCGGCTAGTACTGTTAACTTCGTTTCGTGGGTCCTTCTGTTGACATGACTCCGGAAAGTTCACCAGATAGTACATTGACCATCTGAGGGATTGCTCTAAGCTCTTTAAGCCCACGTTCATTTGGTACAGAAAACGGTGTTCCGTCGACCTTGATCTCGCTTCCTGAAGCAGGCAAGGAGCTGGAATGACTAATGAAGAAGGTTCTGAAAGTCGTCATCGGTTATTCACAGTTTCACCTTCAATACTTTGCTAAGCGGTCATCAGGAACAAATGCGAAGGGTGTTTCGCGGAACAGCCTTTGCATTTGTTCCTGATGCTCACTGTTCACTGGTGCACTTATCTCCTTCAGATGTTCACCCTTACTGTGTATCTCCCCAGGCCACGTTCATAAGAAACGAATCGAAATGATGCAATCAGACCAGATTTCCTTTCGTCGAGCGCGTTGGTATTATTTGCCATTGCAGATGGCACGAGACTGGCCGAGTCATGCACGGCGTGCTGCCGTTCTCGACATGGACGGGACACATGCTCAATATGACGAGCCAGCGGTATGCCGTCGCATTCGCCCCCCCCTGCGCTGCTGCTCTGTCTAATTTCCAACATTGAGGGAGCACAAAGTTCGGTGGATTTGGGAACTCTGCCTCCTGTTTGTGGTCTCTAAGTGCAGCGGCACATCTCGTTAAAAGTCCTGCTTGCTTGCCGCCATTGACCCGAATCCCCTCGTTGCTATTATGGTGTGATGACATCAACTAGAAAGGGTCCTCCAAACTTAAGATCCGGTTCTCATTGTTTCTTTCCTTGGGAGTCTGTGTGTGCGACAAAGAAGAAGTCACCTTATCTGCAGATAAGGCCAGTGGCTAGCACAGGAAAGTTGCTTCAAAGAGCACATACTTGACCCTCGATGCCCTGCAGATGATGTGTTTCGAGTTCAGATTTAATAAGCCCCTTCGATTACAAGAGAATAAATAGTCTAACCTCCGGTTGTGCCCGCTCCGCACACTAACCACCCTAACACCCTGAATCAACTCTACCCGTCCGGTGATTGTAATATTCCTGCACTTGAGAGTAATATGCAGTTGTACATGCAGGCGCACGAAACACTTCCAAACGCTGCCGCCGGCTCGCAAAAATTTAGCACGAAACATTTTTCCAAAGCCATAGGAGCATCAACTCAACCCCCGTTAGTTTGCAGGTGCCTCACGGAAAAGGATACGAGCTGCAGCGTATGGACGCATACGCTGGTGGTCATCGTCCCTGGCAACCTCCAGTTCACTCGCACGGCGCTCCTCCTGGTCAGCGAGGGGAGCAATACGAGCCCCCCACCGACGGCGTTCGACTCTTTCATCCTGATGGCGGCTGCGTAAGTGCCTAGTTTCGCGATCTGCGCTCGCTGCAACCTAGAGTACAAAACAATTTCAGTCTCGGTCAGACCATGAGAATCACAGCTCTGCTGGTTCAAGGGTCCTAGCTCAAGCTCGTACGTAAGGCTGAGAATAGATCCTCCTTGCAAGTCCACTTTCCGAGCGCCTTAGAAGACGAGCGATAAGCGAATCAACTCTTTCACCCTCTTTCCACCTTTGCGCATCAGCTAGGGCGGTCAAGCCAGGCCTTCGGATGGTCCCTCGATCCTCTGACGACGCGACAGTAAGCTCAAATGCGAACGACAAAGCAGCTCCTAAAGTCTTCTGTCTCTGCAAGGCTCGCGAACAGGACGCACAGCGTGACGGCTGTACCGGAAGAACAGTGTAAGACGACGTTGTCGAGAGAATGAGCCCTTGAGCAACAAATTGGAGACGACTAAAGCGAAGACGCTTCAATAAAGGAAATGATGCTTTCGGTCTGCAGGCTTGCCGTCAAAACGCACAGCGTGACGGCGGTTCTGTACCAAGTGCCCAACCAGCCGCGCACTTTTGCGGGCGACACGATAGTAAGCGAAGAAACGAACGAACAACAATGTCAACTTTTTCTTGTTTCCGCAGGCTCGCGGTCAAAACGCACAGCCTGACGCGGTTTTGTACCAGGTGCCCAACCAGCCGTGCACTCGGCGCGGAGAACACGACATTACAAGATCGACACAAATAAACTACAAGAAAACGAACAAAAGTCGCGAAATCTGCGTGTTCTTGTCTCTGCAGGCTAGCGGTCAAAACGCACAGCGTGACGGCGGTTCTGTACCAGGTCCCCAATCAGCCGTGCACTTTCGCGGACGATCCCGACGGGCGGCCGCGGTCGGAGGACGCGCTCATTGCTTTTACCTGGCGCCACTTCCTGGACCACCCCGACGAGGTCAGTAACATCAAATGAGAAGGCGGTTTAGGTTGTGATCAAGGTCAGAAGTCACCTGGAAGTTCGCAGATTCTTAACTTTTCCAACGTCCCTTATTTTCGCCCCCGAATGGTTCACGCTGTTAGCGAGAAGGGCGTTGTTGATTGTGAGCAACGTCAGGAGTGACGTAGAACCGCAGATGTCTTGGAACTACTTTGCGGGCTGCTTTGAGGTTAACTTGATCTGGAAATATGCCGCCAAGAATCCTCGCAAGAAGTCCTATTGACCTTATATTCTTTTGAGCCGTGCTGCATTCTATGCTTCTCTCGCGCGCGAAGCAACCCGGTGTTTGCGTGAATGCTCCGGCTCGCAGGAATGTCAACGAGCGAATGATGCATGTCAAGGAGACCCGGCGGAGTCTGATAGAGTCACGTCGTATACAAGGGTTGAAGGCTCTTAATTCCACCGACTTGGCGCTTGATCCTCATCGTAAGAATACTGGTTTTATCCAAGACGCTCAACAACAAAGATCGTCGCTGGAATTCAACCTAAAAGGGTCTTGGGATGCGCAAAGCCTTCTTTTCTGAAGCTTTTAACCCTGCAGGTGGAGTGGCCCGCTCGCTTCCCCATGGTGAAGGCGGCCGTGCGTGCCATGGACACGGTGCAGGCCTACGCTCGTCAGCTCTTGGGCAACCAGGTGAAGGATCAATCGCTGGTATTCTTGACTCTAGCACCTCCCTTTTAGGACGCCGATGCTCTTCTAAGGCTCCGCTTCTGAGAACTGTACTCGCGAGCAAGCGGGTCCAACCGACTTTTGCGTGCGTGCTCGTGCCCCTGCCGCTGGTTGATTTGCCACATAAGCCGTCTTCAAAAGGCGTCAACCCTGCCTGTACTAGCCGATATGGTCCGAGGAAATGAGTTCCTTTTCAACAATCGTTATCGTTGCGGCTGGGTTGCGGGTTAAAGGCAGAACTTTAAGGATGCACTTGGTGAAGCTCAATTCAAACAAAGAGTCAGATCGATACAGGTACAGTCGTCCAACCCTTGGCGGCTAGGATAGTATTTTTCAATCCGGAAAGTACCTTTTAATCGCCTGCTTTCTCCCTCTCCCCAGATCGAAAACTTTGCCGTCGTTGGCGCCAGCAAGCGCGGCTGGGTGGCGTGGCTCACGGCTGCCGTTGACAAGGTATGGTGAACTCTACAAGATTTCAACTGGGCAAAGTTGCTGAGGCCAATTGCAGTGCACACGTTTCATTCAACCCGTGGACTTCTCTTCGTTCAAGTGGCTCCGGTTATCCTAGATTCGTTAGGGCAGGGATTAGCAAACAGGCATGACAAACTTCGACAACTTCGTCAGAAGCAAAGCTTGGAGAGCCGTCGATGATCAATGTGAGGAAGGATGTGCAGGCGTTTGCCCCTCCAATCAGTACTCCGCTTTTCTCTCTCCGAGATTCTCATGCTGACGTCATCGTGTGCAGCGCGTGACGTGCGCGGTGCCCATCGTGATGGACCTGCTGAACGCGCAGGCAAACCTCGCGCACTTTTACCGCTCCCTGGGGGGCTGGCCCTTCACCTTCCGCGACTACTACGACCTCAACATCACGCGCGATCTGACCACCCCCGGCATGGATCGCCTGTGGGTGAGCCGCTTCAACCCCTTATCATGCTTGTACCCCTTATCAGGCCTTAACTCCTTAACAAGCGTAAACCCCTCGTAACACGCTTTAACCTTTCAACGAGGGAGTAATCTCCTTCAACTCTTCACCGGGCTTCAACCCTTATTGACAGGCTTTGGCCCTTCAGTAGCGGAGAGAATTCCCGTCGAGATTGTCTTACTTACTCCTATCGGAAAGTGGTAGAATTATCTTGATTGTTTCAATGGGCAGATCTTGCGCGCAATTGTGTGGCGCCGATGACGGTATCGAGATATCATGGTGTCAAGGTAGCCAAGGCTCCACCCACTCATTGGCGGCCGCCAAAGACATCGCTGCTGCTGCGAGGCTTCTTTTCTCACATCCGCAATTGGAGGTCAAAGGAAAATTGGATGAGTGCCGGCAGATTGGAAGCTCGAAACAACATGCCTTTGAGCTTGGCTCTACCGCTATCGAGCACTTTCCACAGAACGTCCTGAAGTTGCACATATGGACGAATTTCAAGGAGAACGACCTGGAAAGGAAGCGTCGTCTTTTTCATCTACATCAAACCCGTAAAAATAGGAAAGAAGTCCGTGACACTTTCCTCGTAGTCAAAGTCTTCCCTTCTTCTGCCTTGCGCTTGACTTGGAGTCTGCATTGCGCTTGAATCGGAGTCTTGAATTGCTCACTGAGCTTCTTACGACGCAGGCCTTGATAGACGGGTACCAGTACCGCGACCGGCTGATGATGCCCAAGCTGCTGGTGACCACTTCGCAGGACGAGTTCTTCATGATCGACGACGGGTGCGCGGCGAATTTTACCTCTCTTTAATTACGCTCGTCAGTTTTCTCCAACTTGCTAAACTTCATTGCTCCATCTTTTGGAGTAGTTTCGAATTTATGTTGAGTTACGGCTATGTTGAGTTAGGTCATGCCCGGGGGACGGGTGGGGTTGGTTTGGGGGTTTAGGGTGGGTACGGGTACGGAGCATGTTAACCTTTGGATGTAGGTTTTTAGATTGTTTGCGCCCGGGGTACTGATCTAACTCAACATACACCTAACTGAACATAATCGAGATTTATATCTTTTGGTCTTTGCTCCAAGCCTGGTCGCGTTTTTAACAGCGCCAATCTTCGTTCTTTAGTCCGTCCTTCCTTTGGTCTCGAGCGTTGCCAAACTCTCGAAGTGTGCCTGTGCTGTTTAAGGAAGATGGATCTCCAAGGATTGGGTCTTACTTTTGTCTTACCTCCCTGTACAGCCGCGTTTTTGAGACGCGTTTCCTGGCGACAAGCACCCCCTGAATTCAGTAAACACGGAGCACACGCTATGAAATCATACTTACTCCGCCCAATTCTCCTAGACCAGCACTTGTAGAAACGTAGTTGAAATTGTTTGCCTCAGTCTATGTAGTCCTGCCGTTCTTTTCGTGCAGCCGCTTCTTCTGGGACGCCCTTCCCAGCGAGAAGCACGCCCTGGATTTTGCCAACGCGGATTACAGTCTCATCAAACATCTCCAAGCTCCTAAAGTTGACCCTTGCAAGCTAGACAAACCTAACGACTGTCTTACTTACCCGATTTACCTCCGTACAGCCGCTTCTTCTGGGACGCTCTTCCCGGCGAGAAGCACGCCCTTGCTCTAGTCAACACGGAGCACACGGTACAGTGATGACTGTCAGTCCGCTAAGATTTCCTTAGACCAGCACTTGTGAGAGATATAGTTGCTTCAATTCATTTAGTCATGCCGTTTTCCTTGTGCAGCCGCTTCTTTTGGGACGCTCTTCCCGGCGAGAAGCACGCTTTAATTTTGGCCAACACGGAGCATACTCTCATCACGAGCATCGCCAAGCTCGTGAAGGCCATCGCTGCATTTCACCTCAGCGTCATGGACAGCCAGCGGGCCCATGATCTGGCGGGGGGGTCAGAAAGGGTCGCGGACCAGGGGGGTGGACGAAGCATTTCGAATCAGGGGGGTGCGCATAGCGTTCCGAACCAGGGGGGTGCGGACAGTGCTTTGAGTGAGGGGGTTGCTGCGAAAATGGGGGGGGCAGAAAGTGCGTCGAGTCAGGGGGCGGCAGAGAGTGCTTCAAAACGGGGGGATGCGGCCGGCAGCGCGGGCGGGGTCGGGACCGACAAAATTGGGGGGAGGGTGACCAACCGGGGGAAATTAGAAGCGGGATCACTAGTAATAGGGCTTGCCGCTCAGCGGAGGGGGCGGGACGGACAGGGGTCCCCGTCAGGGAACGCTTCGGAAGTAAGGGGGCCAATTAGCGGAGAAGAAGAGGGGGGGGATGAGGTATCCCGGCGTGATATCTATCGGATGTGCGGAACCCCCCGGGGCTTGCAGACGGTGTACCGGGCACTGCTCGACGAGAGCCGGCCGTGGCGGTTCCGATGGCTGGAGGGAATCCTGGACGCTTTCGGGGGGGAGGATGTCGCGCGTTGGAAAAGTGGGGGAGAGGACGGGGAGGTTAACCGGGGGGCTAAACGGGCACAGGTCCAGGGGGGAAAAGGCGGAGCCTCGGCCGGGGTAGAAAGTGAGGACTTTCTTAGCTTTCCAAGCAAGGCTGCGCAAGGGGGGGGCATTGACGACGGGGGAAGGAAAGAGGTGGCACGTTTTCCGGGGGTCGGAGCCGGGGCTGACGCCGGGGGGGGAAACGGATTGTTTCTTGCGCTGCCTAGCGAGAACACGCGAGATGTAGAGCTGAGTCAGGAAGAGAAAGACTGGGAGAGGGAGTGCGCAAAGCAGGTGCAGGCGCGCGAGGGGGGGTTGCTGCAGCTTGCGGAGCCCTATGCGGCGACCCCCCTGGGAGGTGGACCGGGACGCGCAAGGCCCAAGTACCGGTACGAGCTGCACCGGGAGGAGGGGCGGATCGAGATTTTCTGTACGGACGTGCCTCAGAAAATCATCCAGTGGTGAGTTAAGCTTCGCTAGATCAGGTGTAAATCAGCTTATAGACGCAAGCTGGTCCAAGAGTAAACGATCCTTAGGTACCGCGAAAGCGAGTGTTGGTATTCATGAAAGGGAATGGGTGGTGTTCTGTCGGTCTGAAAACGGAAGGACGGAAGGAACGAACGGGAAGGGCTTCGCCTGTAATGCGAGAGAGCGGGGCGTTTCTTATCTTTCCTCAGAGCGCCTCTGGTTTTCGCGCTTTGCTAAAGAATTGCAAAGCACTTGTCCTTGCATGTGCAAAACATTTTCTTCTAGGGAGCATGTGCTTCTCATGCACGAAACGGGCATAGTCATCGCGTTAAGAGCGCCACGTGGACCCTCAACGAACGATCAACTTCTCGTGGGAACTCCTACGAAAAGAACCCTAGAAAAGAACCGTTCGGAATGGCCGGAAGTCCTCTGCTTCTGTCAAGTGAGCCGTTAACAAGTGTGCCCGCGCCTGTCGCCCCAGGTCAGCGTACACCCCGCCTGGAAACGATAGGCGCGACTTTCGGTTCGTCACTCGGGATTACGGGAACTGGTAAGTCTAGGCTACTTTTCTCCTCCGCAGCCCCAGCTCCTAGCTGTTTCGGGCAAGACAGCCCTGTTCAAAAAGGTCGTCATTTTTCCCCTGACTCCTCATCCGGACAGGTGTCAGACGGCGGTATCACTGGCTTTGGCTTTGGAGCTTTGCAGTGTCCGACAGGAAGATGCTGACAGCGGTTCCGTTCTGTCCACTTTGGAAAATGCTGAAGAGCTTGAGAGGTCTTTTTACTCTCGTTTAAGAAGAACATGAATTGCATTTCAGTCTTGCTAAAGAAACGTCCGCGATCACTCAGTCAACAGATTTTGGACTTCTTTATCTATGTTCGCGAGAGGCTTCGACTAGACTGGGCCTCCTCTTTTCCCATCTTTTGAAGCGGCAACGCGCCGATCAGTACGGTTGTTGACCATCTTCACCAGCTCGACCATCGAAGTCGCGGCTAGATTTGGCCTCCCATAAGTCTGTGCCTCCGTCTTTTCTTCCTCAATATCAATACGGTGACGCGCAAACTCGACGGTTCGAATCTCTCTGACAATTTTTCTGCATCCTGGTCTTCGCCACGTTCGATACTTCACCTTGCGGACAGTTTGCTCGCCCTCTTTCTTCTCTGTTGCAATGCGGTGACGCACAAACTGAAAAGCTTTCCTTGTCAATCGATACCTTTCTTCCACCCCAATTTCCACCAGCTCAACTTTTCGCATCGCGGGCGGCTGCGTCCAGCCCTTCTGCTTCACCCCCCGGGCGCTCAAGCCCCGGGGGCCCAACCTGGGCGACGGCGTGCGCTACGAGGCCCGGTTGGCTCCCCCCGGGCGCGGGTACGGGGCGTTCTTCGTGGAGATGCGCTGGCGGGGCCTCTGGGACCGGCCGCTGTACGTCTTCTCCACGCCGGCGCTGGTCGTGCCGGACACGTACCCCTTCGAAGTAAGCGCTACGATCTTGACGCTGTGATGAGACTTGCTGTGAACTGGATGCTACTAGATTATTAGGTGGAGATCCGTAGATAATTTCGTCCAACACAAATGTACACTCTTTCTCTGCCCTCTGGGCTATACCGAAAATGATACGTTTGTTTGCGAGGAGCGACTCGTGGCGGATCGCAGAAGTTCAGGATAGCCGAAGCCGTGTCGCAGCCGTCCGAACTTCACGTAACAATTCCAGTCCGCAACATTTGGCCTCGAGCAGTCCTCTCCTGTGACTCCTGTCGCATAAGGACAGGTTCCAAAACATGGTTTGGGTCAAACATGGCAGAAGCGCTGGATCATAGCGAACCTGAAGCGTTCATTTGTGTCTTGTCGAAAGATAAGACGGTTGCGACACGGTTTTGTGCTGTCCCCCAGCCATTCCAATCTTCTGCGTTCCGCCTGACTCGTGCTTTCTGTGGTAGATTCCTCTTGGCATAAGCGAACGGGTGATGTTGGAAGGCGGGTTGTCTGGTCGCATCCTTGAAAGAGGCGCACGGATCTCTGCATTCACCTCAATTGCCTGGATACGCATCCATTCCATGTTGTCTGAATCCGCTTTTAACCGGAAATTGCGAGGACTGAGATGATCTCATGTTTCGAACTTCTCAGGATTGTCGCTTCGCTCAAGGAGGCTGCACCGGGCGTCTGCTCTAGGGGAGCCGCCAAAAGCTGCAGGGCATGCGCGCATGACAACTGTACATTTTGTAATATGTTCGTCGTGATATTGTTGAACAGGACGCCGCAGCAAGTCGGGAGCTTCTTGCAGCTTAGAGATCTTGTGTGCAAGGTAGTCTCCTGTATAGTTGAGCAAAATAATGATTGGACGATGTTACGCTTTTCTGCACCTAATTTTGCGACTTGAAGTGCAGGTTGGATCATTGCCGCCAATGGAAGCTTTGCCACCCTAGGTTGTAATGCACTTCTCAATCTGTACGCATACGAGCCAGCTAGACAAGTGTCCGCAGCGAGATATGGACAGCTACGGTGTAGGGAGCTACGAAAGTTGAATTGTCGAATTACTAGCTGGCCTATGGTCATGGTCGTGGGTGGCGGCCCCGCACGCTCATTACTATCGTGAACATGCGACATTAAGAAATCCCTTTTGGCACGTACATCAAACCGAATTAAATGCAGATTGCGCGTGGTGAGATCGGAGTCAAACCGCATCTATCATGCATGGTATTCATAGACTGCGTGCGGCCGCATAATCTGACAATGAATACAGCACGCAGTACGTGACTGAGGCACGAGTCCTAAAGTTAGTTAGACAAAGATATAGATGAGATTGCATGAGCAAGATGGAAAGATGGCTCTAATTTACTCGTGCCAACGATTGTTTGACATGCGCACCGCTGCTGTGTTGTGGTAGCCAGACAGCGATGATCAGTCTCGCGAGCTATTCAGTAGAGTGGTTGAAGCACCCTTGGATGGCCCGGCCATCAGAAGCACGTTCTAGCACAAGCAGATGCCATGTGGGCCAATGGTGTAATCGCATCTTCTAGAGTCCTCATAAGAGCGATGGTTTCTTTCGGTATAGCTCAGAGGGCAAAGAAATAGTGTACATGTGATTGGACGGATTTATCTACAGGTCCTCACCTAACGATCAAGCGTTCAATTCCTAGCAATATAACAGCGTCAATACATAAGATTATTTATCGAGTATTTATCTATCAACTTTTTATCTAGATGGCTAATCTCAATGTATATTTGAAGTTGTATTGCTAAGAATCAACACTAATTGTGTCAACGGGAGGGGAGGAAGGGGGCCTCCTACCCATATGCTACAGGGCGTGCTCCAGAAGAAGTCACAGCCGGGCTGCATGACTATTAGTCATAAGCAAAACTCCCCCTCCACTCGTGATCAGTGGGGTTCGCTAGAGAAGTTGACTACGGGCTAAGTCAGGGCCCCGGCTGCTTGCTGAAGGCTTGTAGTGATCGGGTAGGGAATCCTAGCAAGTCTTTCAGCTGAGGCGCGCGAGTTTGCCGCGATTCAACATGGCTCCCGCTTGGCCGCACGGGGGCTGCACCTGCCAGGCCAGTGAGGCTTCAACCCAGCCTCACAGATATTATGAGGAATCTCTCATATTACCCAAGTCTGGAAAATGGTATTATTGCCATAAGTCAATGACGAAACTTCCATATTGGTATGAGAAATCTGAAAAGGGTGTATGAAGAATTAGGCTGCCGCCGGCGTGGATATGTGCATCCCGGTGTGCTGCCGACCGGGCTCAGCAACATATCCACAGCGAGGTATCTGCGCCGTCCGATCGGCAGTGCACGGCTTAATATCGACCGTGCAGGACGGCCGAAGCGACCGTTTTGAATTGCCGCCGCGACCGTGTGGATTGCAGTACATAAGGGCGGCGCCCCTTGTGGGGTGGTGGTCCGCGACGGCTTGCACCGGGTGCCACCAACACTGCAAGTCCACTAGCATTAGGGTCTCGCATACCACCCGAGAAGCAACCGGGCCCTCCCTGTGACATTAGGGTCTCGCGGGCAACCGGGTGACAACCGGGCACTTCCCACTGACATTAGGGTGTGTGGCGGTCACTCTATCCTAGGTTTTTAGTGTGCCCGGTTCCTCCCTGTGACAACCGCCCGGGGATTCAAATTCACCATAAGCTCTGAGCAGATTCTCCATACCGAACTGGAAGTTTCGTCATTGACTTATGACTTATTTGCCAGTTGCCGGCCTTGGGTAATATGAGAGATTCCTCATAAAATCTGTGAGGCTGGGTTGGAGGCTTTTGGCTGAACGCACGACAACCGGGGATGCCGCGCGCGCTTCGAAGATTTGCGCCCTTTGCTCGCGCGCACATTCGCGATTTTTATTCCATGCATCAAGCGTCGGCGGCCGTGCAGAAGGTGTATAGCTTGGCGCATTATGCAGCCTCCTAGCTTGACAATGAGTCGGATAATACCTAGCCTTGTAAGTTGTAGCCTTGTCCAACGAATTGCATTGCATTTGCAAGAAGAGGGGCAGCACAAGCGCACAGCTCATCATTCTCTTCCTCTACCTGGCAATTGGCTATACAAGCATAGCAGCTCAAGACACCAAGTGCGTTCAGTAGTACTGGCTGGGCTCCTAGCGTTTTCTTCAAACTTATTTAGGGCGGACGGCATAACTGCAAGTTTTGCAGATTGCGCACTTTGGCAGCTAAAGTGGTATTCAATCGTCATAGGCCTTTGACGCACTTATCATTAGTATGGCTGCCAGCAAAGCATTGATTACAATTGAAGGGAAGAAAGGAGAGGCGACTTTGAGCTCGGATGGAGTTCTGCGCTGGCCAGGGGGTGCTTTGGACATTCTGAATGAGGTGGGTGGCCAAAAAAGGTAGTCCGGTTATACAATCATCGCTTGGGCTTTCCATCAAGGGAGAATGCAGGGCTGGCTGCTGAATGGCCTGTTCGATCGGCTGCTTTAGGCATTGATATGCTCTCCTGAGTGGCTTGAATGCCCCCATTTTTAGATGGCAGTACTAAAGTAGCACCAATTGTAAGACCTGCAATCGGGGACTCCAAAATAGGACTCAAAAGAAAGACCTAAATCTTGCCTAGATCTTATGAGAGCAATGCATAATGGAGGAAGTCTTCTTTCACTGCTTTGTTCATATGCATTTCCTGTTCTCTTCCCTTCTCAGTTGATTTCATTGTGTGCAGGCCTTGGGCTTTAGCACAGGGGCTACAAGTATAACAATAAACTCTCTGCCGCTCGCCCCTGGGGGTTGCTTCCGGGGACCTAAAAGAAGGGTCAAGAGCACAATCCTTGAGTTTGATGAGCAAAAGTCCCATGACGATTGGGGGACAACGTTGGAAGGCATTTTTGCTAGCGCAGGTAAGTTCAGCTCAGCATGTTCTAATCTCTGCACACATTGTCGTCCTACGTGTTACTGTTGCTCTTCAGAAAGTCTTGGAGTAGGCGGTAAGAAGACCGAAGAGGCTTTTGCTACAGAATGTGTCCTGTCTAACAGGGAAGAGTCGACAATGAACCAGATCAAAATCCTATTCGCGCTTGATCCGATCCTGCATCTCCAACCATTGCCCGCACAACCCCAAAAATTTTCAATGTGCAGGCAGACCAAAGCGACTGATCGTGATAGTGAATCCAAAGAGCGGCAGAGGCAAGGCCCCTGAGATCTACAATCAAGATGTTGAACCTCTCCTCAAGGCGGCAGGAGTGCAATACACCACCACATGTGAGCACCTGATGATTGTCAGGGGGATCCCTCTCTGCTTCGCCTAAAGAAAAGGTCCATTCGGCTCACACGGAAGACTTCACTTGGAAATCAGCTCCACTCTAATGCTGCCTGCTTTTGGCCACTCAACGTCTTTGTGATTTTATTACTTCGTTGAGTGACAAACTTCTAGAGTCAGTGAAAGCCTTCGGAAGCACCATCTTTATGTATGGATCGGGCATGCCGCTTTTCACCAAAAATTGGCCTTCGCCCCTTCTTCAATTGTGCAGACCGGTGCTGAATCACAGATTTTCGTGCCAACAACAGCTGGAATGTGTCCATTATTGGATAAGTGTGTGGGCAAGGTGCAGGTGCAAAGTGCAATTCTCCTGCTCCCCACGCTACTTCTGACTTGATAACTTTGTCTTTTTCTGATTTGACCCTCTTCAAGTCCCTCCTCTTTATGCTGCTGAGCTCTGATGGTCTCTGGCTCTTTGCAGTCACCACTCATTGGAACCATGCCAAGGAGATTGCTCAAGAAGCGGAGAGGAGGTCGTGCGATGGGATCGTCTGTGTCAGTGGTGATGGGAGTGCTGTGGAGGTAAGAAACTTGACACTTTCCATGCAGGCAGACAGCACAGGCGACCTTTCATCTTTGGACCGTTTCTGCTTACATGCGAAACCTGAGCATCGCGCAAACAAACCTTCACAGCAGCAGTCCGTCCTCGATCTGAGCGCGAGAATGAGCAGCCCTTGCTTCGTAAATCTCAGCATACAGAGAGGAACTCTCTGGGTGGCGAACAATCAAACCGCTTTCCTGGCTTTGTTGGAAGCAAGGTTAGACTACATGCTCACCGGTGTCAGGGGGCTCTCGTAGCACCCTCGAGCAAGAGGAGTTTCTGAGATGAAAAGAACCTCCTTACAGCACGATTTCTGCAAGAGTTGCATTCGACTAGAAATACGAAAAGCCGCTGCTTGTTTGCAGGTGATGAATGGTCTTCTTGACCGAGCAGACTGGCAAGAGGCGATTCAGATTCCCATTGGCCTCGTCCCAGCAGGTGAGCATCTTCATGAACAAGCTCGTGCACTTCATACTGGTACAGAGACTGGGTCTGGTCAAGACGGATACTTCGGATATGGGCCGGGGGGGATACGAAAGGGAAGGCGGATTTCAAGAAATGTGATCAACGTGATCAAAAGCTGCAGCCGTCTGTGAGACAGGTTGCTTCAAACTGTGTCGTAGCCCCCTCCTCAGAGGCCTTCATCGAAGATTCTCAAGGTTCATTTTTCCCATAGCTCCCCAAAGAGCCAGCAAGGGTCGACTTACAGCAAGCATCTCCAGTCAACGTTGGGCGCAACCCTACAAAGCAACCGGTCATCTCAAAACCCGTTTGCAGGATCGGGAAACGGGCTCGCAAAGTCGTTTCTGACGCTTGCTGGCGAACCGTATGATCCGGCTGGGGCTGTTCTTGCCATCATCCTAGGTGAGCCGTCGCGAGCTTATTGCGTCCTATCCGTGCGCGCTTCAATCGACAGTCCGTCTTTCTGTCCTGGTTGAGCACAACCCGTCTTCTTCGGAAGGTCCTTCCGTTCCCTCGACGAATGACAAGCTTGGGAGTTGAGGAGCTTCATGTTCGTACTTGGAAACAGGCTGTAGCACATGTCGATTTCTAGCTTCAACGAGCACTCTACACGGAGTATGCCCCTGATTTCGGTAACACCTTGAAAGCATCACCCAGGTCTTGTCGAGAAAGCCAATCCACAACCAGGTTACCCGTCGTCCTAGGCAATCAACGTTGGCGTAAACCCCTTTCCTTCATGCAGGCCAGAAGAAGAAGCTGGACGTATTCACATTGAGCCAGGGGGTGAAGGACTACCATGGCCTCCTGTGCGTCACATGGGGTGAGCCGTCCTTCTCTTCGCACAGCCAAAAGGCCCTCGACCGTCCCGCTTTTGCAACCGTACGGTCACCTAAAATGGAAATGATAGGCAGCAGGGACGCCCAAGATCGGATACAATTGTCCGTTTCGACAGTACCTCAAGCGCGCCATCGGGTTCAGGCCCTCACTTGAAAATCGGGTTTGCGTGAACAGCCATCGAGCTCATTGTTGAGCCAGGTGGCTGGCCTTGAAGAGCCTGACAGTCTCCTTACGTTCCGTGTACTGTTGCAACAAGGGCAGTCTGCGTGCTTGTCAGCAATTATCTTCTGTCGTCAAGAGTACCTTTCGCACCTCGCCCCGGCGTTCGCAAATTGGTCGGTCCTTGATGCGCAGGTTTCGTCTCGGATGTCGACATTGAGTCAGAGGCGTTCAAATGGATGGGGGCTGCTCGGTTCACCGTGCAGGTGAGTGGGTACACGGTTTGAGGTGTTCAGAGTATTCGACCTAATTTCGAATATGCAATTCCGGAGGGGTAAAGCAAAAATGTTACTCCGGACGTAACAAACTTAGTCCGTGCTAGTTGACACATGGCGTCCGGAATAGCGTTTTAACAATTGGGAATTCGAATCGGTGAAAGGACCTCCCGGTTTGGTAGACTGCTCTATCAGATACGGCTCAAAAAATTTGCTTTGCCCGTCCAGAGTTGCAACATTTTGGAACCACGGCGAATTCCCTCTCCGTTTAGTAGGCTTTCGGGATTTGGTTTGTCTGGACTGTCTGGGTTGATTGCTCAACAGTCCACTGGAAATGTTTCCCGTTTCGAGCCTCTGAACAGGGGGGGTTTGAATTTGGGATTTATGTGCCGTGGCTTGACGGGATAGACAAGCAGCATCTCACGAAGAGTGGTGTTCCGCTTCGGCCAACGTACTGACTTTGTCTTCTTGCGGGCAGACATTCTCTCATCTTCTTGTCTCCTTGCCTCTTATCTCTCTTATTTCCTAGTTTTGATGCGCTTTTCCTGACGGCCTAACGACCTTACGGCCTGCGGCCTGGAACTTCGAAGGCCCGAAGGTTTAAATAATCACCCGAGCAAGGCTCTCGCCCAACGTCCTGGATCATGGAGCCCGTCTCGGCAACGAAGCTTCTGAGCGGATTTGGCCTCTGCCCCTTTCGGAGACATCTTTGTCGACAAACTTGTAATCTTTCCTGGAACTCACTCACTTCTATCTTTGCAGACCGTCAAACGCATCATCGGCTTGCGGCAATACCACGGCACGTTCCACTACTTGCCAGCCGACGACATGTCGCTCCCCTCTCCTTCTGGCCGAAGTGAGCACCCGTTCTGTTCTCTCCTTTTGCTTCTTCCTGCTTTCTGCTCTCTTGCTCAGTATCTGGGTCTGAAATAGGAGACACCCGCAGCTCGATGCGTTGCTTGTTACGTCCATTGGCTTCCGTTAAAGGTTGACCTGTGACGTGCTGCTCACCACCACATTCATACAACATTAGCGTCATTCGGTCCATGATAAAGAAGATAATAGAATATTGGTCCCGGCGAGTCAACTCTTTCGAATGACACTATGTGGGCCGGAAAGCGGGATAAGCGCGAACAACTTCAATCCCGCTCGCAAATTTGATGTAGTTTCAGAAGAGCGCACATCCCTCCTTCATATTCGTCAGCGTTTCGTAGCGTGGATCCACGTTTACGAAGTGTGCATCCGCGTTTACAATGTGTGGATCCACGTTTTCAATCCCTTTGAAGACCTAATCAGGGAGCTGTTCCTCGGTCCCACAAAGATGCCGAATGTCGAAAGCAATTCCCTTGGCGACTCCAAGCAACGCTTCCTCCAAAGCTTTTGTCCAAAGCTGTGGCAAGCGGAACAGACTTTAGACATGGTCCTCTTACGTCCGCTTCAGCCACCATTCCTGTGTAAAAGAATCCTGACAGCAATTGGTGTAAATCGTGGTCCGAACTGCTTACATCCAGTAGCTAACGCATTTTGTACACCCGTGGTCATGCTCAAGGGGTAAGCCCGAACATCTCAACATCGGCGGCGAATCGCGTTTTGTACGTCTGCCTATACGAGCGCGTCGCTTTTGACGCTTACCCCGGCTCCTTCATTTGCGTTTGATGCTGAGAATACAGGCCCGTTTAGCCCAGAACCCGTTGCTAACCCCATTCTGTTCGTCCGCAAACATGAAGGAGTTGCTACTGGCCTGCATCCGCGGTTATACTTTGCCGCCGGTCCGGTTAGCCAAGACTCCGCCGCTAGCCCCTTTTCGTAACCCCGCAGATATGAAAGAGTCGCTGCTGGCGCTAACCCGGTTCCTACATCCGCAGTGATCCGCGGTGATCAGAATTCTGAAAGGCAGGCCCGTTTAGCGCACACCTCGCCACTAACCCCGTTCTGGTACGACCCCGCAGATATGAACAACTCGCTGCTGGCGCTACGTCAGTTGCTACAGCCGCATTTGAGCTTCAAATGCAGACCCGGTTAGCCCAGACCTCGCCGCTAATCCCGTTTCGTTACACCCGCAGACATGAAAGAGTCACTGTTGGGCGGCGCCAGCACTTTTGACCACGGGGAGAGCGGAGCGGACGTGGGCGCGTGGCGGCGGGAGGAGGGACCGTTCACACTGATCTGGGCGAACAATACAAAGTGGGCGGCGACCGATATGCAGATTGCGCCAAAAGCCGAGGTGAGAGATAAGTTTTCAAGGTTTGCCAAGTATGCGAGATTCGGAGAAGAAACGATCAAGATGGCCGATCGGCCCTCTGAAGTGCTCAACATCCACGTTAACCAACATGCAATGTACGTCGAGAGCAAAGGTCAGAGTCGGTTGGTAGGGTGCCAGGAACGAGACTGCCCCTTTGCTCGACGACAGGTCCACCGCACCGTTGGAAGCTCCGGCAGTGTCGATTGACGCCCAAATTCCGGTGTTTTGATATCCACCGGCTGAAGTGGACTTGTAGCCTCCCTCGATGCGAATCTGCAAAGTGCTTTGGCGGAGAGATGTTCGAGATGCAGCTATATTGAGTCAGACAGTGCCCGTTATAACGGTGGGGTCGCTGTGGGGGCTTGTTTGATGAGATTACGCCGGCGATAGAGTGTGGGTTGACATGCTGACCAGATCGTTTCATCGAACGTTGGACCATCTTGGGCAGATGCTCTCTTCTGCCGAACCATCACCTGCTAAACCCCTACACCGCTAAACCCTTGATCCCTGCAGCTTTCGGACGGCTTCTTGGACGTGGTGATCGTGAACGAGATCGGACGGCTCAAGCTTCTCGACCTCTTCCTGGCCATCGAGAGCGGCAAGCACGTCGACAAGGGGCTCAAGCTGGGGCCGGGAGTCTTTAAGTACCTCAAGGTGAGCAGTCTCTGCCAAAACTTCTCAAATACTGGCTTACGCAAGTGTGGAAAATCTCTTTGAGTCGGCTTGATGCAGAGCATGACGGCGGCGCCTGTAGTAGGTTGCAAGGAGAAAACCAACGAATGCTTTTGCCGAAGAGGGAGGGAAGGATCGTCGGTTCTCTTTCAGTGCTGCAAGCTGCTTGTCGCTATATGCCGCCTATCGACACGGGTCTCAAGGTATCCTGACTTCAAGGCGAAATCTCTTCATCCCGTTGTCTCGTGAGCAAACCACCTTGGTGTCATCCTTACCTAAATGGTGCAAGCTGGCTCACGTTGATCAAGTTTTCTCTTCGCCGTCCAGGTGAAAGCCTTCCGGTTCGAACCGGGCGGCAGAAAGTCGGACGGGAAGGGCGGGCTCCTCTGCGTTGACGGGGAGGTTGTGGCCCGAGGCCCTGGGGCGGTGGGCGAGGCCTCAAACGACGTCATGCAGTACGGACCCGTCGTAGAGTGCCAAATACGTCAGGCGCTCGCAACGGTCTTTTGCGGCGACAAACATTGACAGCGTGTTGGCTTTGCTGAGTATGTTCATACAAGGCGCTAGTACGCGTGTGATAAGCTTACATACAACTTTGGTCGATCGCTTCTCCGAAACGGGGTACATGACGAGTTCGCTGTTATAGGGGGCTTATTCTTATAGGTGAATTGAAGGCTCTGTGATGCAAATCACGGGCCATAAGAAAGGCGCGACAAGTAGATCTGCGGCTCTGGCCAAGCCACGCAATCAGGGCTTATGATGCACTGCCTTTCCTAGATGGGGCTTATTAATATTTCTGATTGATCTGTGTTTGCCACGATGAACCAAGACGAATTCGTGAGTTAGTCCCATGCTAGCAAGCCGCCGGGCCCTACATGAAGCTCAAGCTTGGATGATGCACAGTGGTAAAGATTGGCCTATATAATCGTGCCGCGGCTCGGCCATATATGGCACGGCGGCAGAAGCCAGCGGCCAGAGTCCGCAATCGAAAACGGATTCAAATGCGGCAGTGACTGCATGATCCAGTATAACAAGTTGATGTGTGAATCGCGTGGATTTGATCGATCATATTGAACCTGTTGATGCATGGGATCTCCTGAGTCGAGCATGCGCAGTCACTGCCCGGCCATCCATGCCACATCAAAATTGAGCGTCGCCATGCATGATAATCTGATCATATAACATGACCTTGCTAGCTAAGGTTGACTATGCATGCAGCTTGAAAAGTGATCACTCGCGATTGCTGGCATGAGTATGGCGTCGGGCCGCGGCCGTTGTAGCACAGATCCGGTCAGACTCAGTTTCGATAAGCTGGGGGCTTGTAAACGATACTTTTGGCAGTGAGATCTAAACTTAGGAGGTGCCATGCAGCAGAGGGCGGAAAATGCACTACTTCGAAAAGTCATGAGGATCCTGACGTAGCCGGACTTTAGTCAAGTCGAGTGAGTGGGCGGTTATCCTCTGGCGTCCCTGAACCTGGCAACCGTTCAAATTCAAGTTTCCTGCACCCCTGTGCCGGCACTGCATCTACTACACATACAGTATGATTTCCTCAAGACGGTAACGTACCGGCCATCCGTATGATTGAGTTCAAGCAGTAATGTTTTGGGCACTGATTGCCCACAAAGAATTGAACGCAAACGTCTTTGGCCTTATTTCATTCTCCACCCTTCTCGCTCTCGCGGGGTCACCGTGCACGGCTGCTCGTGCCGTTTGCAAACTTTCTCGATCCCTCTCGGCTCAGATTTGGCGAACTTCGAGCACTGATATCTCTTCTCAGAAGCGATGCGCTTGGGTGACTTCTTTCTAGGCACCCGCGAGCCCGCGTTTTCTTCGTTTGCTCCCGCCTGAAAGGGCTGTCTCCGAGAGAATGCCGCGCCCGCTTGGCTGGGCCAATGGCAGGGCGCCACGTGGCCGAAGCTGCACTCTGCGTGATGGCTCCGGTGCGGTCCGGTGCCACCTGAAGTGACGTCACTCCGCTGCCTGGGATCGTCATTGTACAAGTCCACCTGCAGACCGAGTGCGTCCCATTTAGACAGTTTCGTGCAGGAGACTCGGACTTCAATGCCATTTGTAAGAGGAATGGGGGGACCTTAGCAGTTTCAGGCTGTGACAAATCCAGAATCTAGCTTCGTGAAGACCTTTCGATCCTAGAGTCCTCCGCCCAGCTTTCCTTTCAACGGCTGTACGGTGGTCTGACGTGTAGACTGTTCAACATCAGCATCGGCCAGCCTGTCACGTAAAGAGCGAAAGTCGCTATCCTTTTACTTCGAATCATGCAACTTCGAATCATGGCGGTTCTCTACTTGCGGGTTCGGACTTGAGTGCTGACCATCGTGGAGAAGAAGCAAATCCTCTTTTTCTAAGCGAGCGGATTGTGCTACCTAGTCGCAAAGCACTATTCTGTTTAGCAACTCAAGAAGAACGGCGCGGACTGGATTTTAGGCAAACAATTGTTTCTTTTGCAGCTCCCATGCTTTTGGTTCTATTAAGAAAGACCAGTTATCCCGACCCGTGAAGGGAGACAAAACGGAACACGGAACAAACGTAGGGGACGACCGCAGACTCACCAGAAAAGAGACCCGCAGCGTGGGGGAGATCTCCGAGGCGACGGCCTGGAAGTCGAGTGACATCCGCATGACGTCAGAGACGCAGTGGTTGTGACAGCCAACCATTGCCAGGAAGCTCGCGGCCTGTCCCGTCTCTAGTTCCATGTCACTCGTGGAAACTGCGGGAGAGTCGAAGGGGTTAGAAGACGTACAACCGGGCTTCTCATACTTCGCGTCCTGAGTTAACGACGCTCGTCAAAACTTCTAGGCTCATAATACTCTTAACTTTTTTGCTTTGTCGTCCTACAAAGCCCCTGTTTTTGGGACCACAAAACGACTTTGAAAGAAATAAATGTTGTGAAGCTCTCCGTACGTGTCTCTCAGGCCTCAGCAGAAGCATGTGAACTTAAGATTCGAAGTGGAAGACTGTGCCTAGTATAGGCGGCCTAACGGAAAGCGAGAAGAGCCGCTCCTCCGAGGGTGCTTGCGGTTCAAAGGGCTTGACAGCACGACCGAACATTGACAATCTTTCTTCATGGTTTGGCATTGGCCCGTGATATTGAACGGGTAGTCACACGACCGAGCTTGTGGAATTCATGATTCTCGGCAAGACATTGATCGAAAGAATATAAAACGACCGGACTTCTGATATTCCAATTCTTAATATGGCATCTTCTTGACGGCCACAGCACCTGTTGGATTGAACTCTAAAAGTAAGCGGCCTGTGCGAACTGCGTCGAAGTCGTACCGAAACTAGGGCAGAGGCTTTACGAGCATATTGATTTAGTTGGACTGACTTCTAATCCCGGCACGTGTTTGGCTCGTCTGGAAAAGCTTCCTTTGAGCGACGTAACCATCAGGTCGCTTGAAATCTAATGCATAACACGTTAAAGGAAGCATTTCTGAGCGACGAATGCAAAGCGTATATGCGAAAGCGCAAAGTGGGCTGCGAAGTTCCCGCCTTTAGAAATTGTCTCGGCCAGACTGTTAAAAACGCGGTGAGTCTCGAAGCAAAACCAATCTTTGGCATGAACCGGATTAATGAGCAAAACAAACGGAGAAACCATGACAGCAAGCTCAGAAACTCCCTCGATTGCAGGGCCCCATTGAGCAGTCGGTGAAAAGACCGCACTTGGAAATAAGCGTGTCTCAGAACGAGCGAGTAGGGTTCAAAACAAAGCAAAAACTGAAAAGCAAAGAAAGACAGCCAACTTACTTTTGAGGTTAACTCGGAACCGCCCTTCGCAGCAGTGGATCTCGTCGAGCTCCCCGGCAAACGGATACCCCAGGATCCGCCCGAAGCAGGAGCAGCTGCCGTCCGCCAGCATGGTCTGCCGGATCTCTTCCGCTCTCTGCGTGGGGACAGCCAAAATCAGCGTGAGAAGATGGACTCCTCTGGCTCTGGGAGACCAAAGAGAAGAGGGCGTATTGGCTAAATGAAACTCTTCAAGGCCGTTTGTGTTGTCTATTGTCGTCCAGCGTGGCCGGCTAGGTTTCTCAGCTATCGGTAGGGAACAACGAAATGACTCGTAGAAACACGGACTTTTTCAGGCGGTTGTCTGCAGAGACCGCCGTCTCTGTACTGGAAGTGATAGTTGGCTGGAAACGTATAATCTTTCGTATTGATAGCTTAACGCCCCTCCAAGTGCCAGAATACTACGGTTTGAAACCCCGACTTTGGTAAATAGGAGTCCGTTTGTCTTAGAGACGATTCTACGAGTCGCCCACTGATGTCGAAGCAGGGCAACATTTGGGTCCAATCGTCCCTGCATTGGTGTCCTTTCCTGCATTAGTGATTTTTGGAACGACCACGGATTGCTCACCGATTGGAGGCACACGAGCTGCCCCTGGTAGGTGTGAATGGTCGCAAAGATGCTGCTGAGCTCGGCGAGGCACGCGTCAATGCTGGCACGGAGATGGGCTGTGCGGTTGTCCGCCTGCGGGACACGAAGGCTAGGTTGATTTAAGACGACCAACTGAGATTCGCTTGATGTACTGTCAGAGATTACGGGTTGCTGGTACAAGGTCTAACGCGTCCGGTGAGCAACACGCTATTCCTACCTGGTGCCTATCTGTCCTTCTTCCTCAGGCCCGTCACAGCTGCATCAGTTGGAGAAGCAGCGCAACCCTAAACCGAACATAGTAGTACACAAGTCCCAATGGGTTTTCCTTATTCTTGTACCTACGTTTGTGTATCTCCTTTCAGCAGCCTGTTAGATTGCTGTATCGAACAAATCGTGGAACCCAGAAATGTGTTGATTCTCCAGGTGACAGTCTACTTCTTGATATCCTGGCAGCCTTGAAGGTAACGAGCTAAGCCAGCATGGCTGAAAAGCTTCCTAAAAGCCAAGAACCCTAGAAAGAAAGCTGCACATTGGACGCATACGGTGTCTAATCAACGTTACAGCGGTCATTGGTGCTACAACACGGTTGCTGTACTGTGGGAAGCTCTTTGAACTTGGGCAGTGCACAATGTGAAAGTAGTTCTATGGATCTCAAGCGAATGGTTGACTTTTCAGGATTTTGCATGTCTCAACCCAAGGCATCAACACAAGCTGGTAGTATAGCAATGCTCGGACTCGATCTGATAGACAGATTGAGCAGCTAACTCCACCTCATTGCACAGGTTATGATATCCAATCTGATACAACTACGCATCAGGTCACAAGAGCTCATCCTCAGCCGGCAGAGGCGTTGCTAATGACTATGTTGTACCATTTAGTGCTTCAAAATGCACAAACCGGAACTAAACGGATCTGATTAGTAAAAACCTCTTAGGCACCAGATTGGCATCTGACGAAAGAACCACAAGGCTCAGTCAACAGCTCTGATACATGTGAAGTGGTACTCCTGATTCGAGTCTCTAAGCTTTACAGCACAACAGGTCTGGCCAAGATCTCACACTCCAATGCTCACAAAAAGCTGACATTTCCAAGAAGTGCCCACCTGAATGAGGCACATCCTTCTATCCAGCTCAGATCATCACACTGCCATTCCGTCGACCTTCCAACACTACACAAAGCCAGCACACACAAATCTTCCTCCAAAGCCGACAACTTGGACTGCATTCAACAACTGCAAATCCAATGGCTTACTGTGGTTTCTAGGATACTCTTATTTCTCATCAGCCCATCCCAGATAACACAGACAAGACAAGTTCTTTCAAAGCTGCCCACCTGGATCAGAAACGCAGGCCGCTTTTCCTTCAGCAGGAGGCACAGATTAAACGGGATGTCAAGCAGCTGCTTCTCCAGACTCTTGTGCTTCATCAGCATCTTGTACGCGCGCGAGAACACCTCCTGGACCGTCGTCAGCTCCGGGCGCTCGTCCCCGAGCGCCGGACGTCCGAAGCGGAGCAGGGATGGGTGCCGGCGATTGCATCCCTTAATTGCGCGGTGACTGGGCTGGTGGTTGGCGGCGTTGGCGCTCACGTCATCAGCCCGAGTCTCGTACTCGGGCTCCATTTGAACCTTTCTATTATAGCAAGAGTTGATTGCTAATGTTTGCAGCCGATATGAGGGCTCTGCAAACAATGTTTACTAGTAGAGGAATCACGACTGTGTACGTATAAGGTACAGTCGATCTTTAAGTTCCACAAAAAGCAAGTCAAAGCCGCCCTGATCTGAGCCCCTGCATACGCATATCTTACAAGTCCTCCCCTTTACTGCTTTACTGACAGTAATGCTGCCCTGCCGAGATCGCAACCACCTGGCTTAAGCAGTCTGTGATATTGAAGCTCAATGTGCATGACCCATCAGTGACCAGACTCTCAGCCAAATGGGTAATGCTCAATGCCTTTGCGCCTTGGGAACTCCACAGGACGGTTTGCAGGCAGCTGAGTCCTGGGTTATCATTCTACAAGGTGAACGAAGGTGCCCGCCAATGTAGGTACCTAGACTGCAACTATCAACATTGCTTTCCTCTCACGTTGACTTTGGAAGTCTGCTTCGTCGCCTTGCTCAAAACAGTTCAGACAAGTAGTACTTAGCTTAGATAGCCCGCACTGTGCAGGCAAGTTCAAGTTGTCAACCGACAAAATGGCCCACAATAACATACCGTACCTACCTCTAGATGTAAGTACAGTAGGTAGGTGCGGGTTTAATCTAGGTTTTGTGCAAGTTGCCAGACACAATGACGACGGAAGTAAGATCGACGGACCCAATAAATCGAGGGAATTGGATCCGACGGTCCACGGTCGACTGAGCTCGCTCGTCGCGAGTTTGACTGGACATATGTCGACAAATGTCGGCAGATTGCTTGGCATTAACTTCCCACGCGAGATCTTACGGTACTGCGTAGTACGTACCCGTCCGGCCTGGCGCCTGAGAACTTACAGAGGGTTTGGTCGGAAGCTTGAACGCACCAAAGAGTCAAAGGTGCCTAAACTGCATTTTGCATTGCTTCTGGATTATCTTGAAACAGACTTTCTGCGATGTGGGAACGGCACAAGAAACTGAAATCCTTGGACCACAGGCAGGCTATCCGCGAAAGGTTGCGATACCATGAACGATGGATAATGGATGGATGGATGGATTCCAAATTGACCAGAACAGTTCTGAAGCCAACAGATCATGAAGAACTTGGAAGACTCTCCAAAACTGAACCTCAGAAGGTGCTTTGAAACAGAATTAAGCCAGACTCTGCTTTGATACATTGTAGCTTGCACGTTTGTTGCAGAGTATCCAAGGTACCCCTCTTCTTTGCAAGGACTCATGCGCACAGCATGCTATCAACCTTCCCTCGTCGATGTTAGACGTCAGTAACCATCAGAAAGTACACAACAAGCCTACATCATAGAAGCCAATGTACGACAGACACCATGACTCGCTCTACCACGTGAACATCTGAATGGGGTCACTCTGGTGCTCCGACGCCGTCGACTCGGCCAGGTGCGCTCTGGTCACCCCCCAGAAGCAGTCGGGGGTCATCCCCGGGCGCACTGCCGTGAACTTCCAGCCCATGTGATAGCCGCAATTTTGGCAGTGCGCAATAGTCCACGCATAGCCGGGGAACCAGCTGTTTTCGGTTTCTTGGAAGCCGTCGAGCGCGAGGCCTTGCACGCGGCGCAGCGTCAGCGTCTCATGGATGTGTCTGCAAAACAAGTTCACAAAAGAGATGACGACTTTCCAATCTGACCAGAATGACTCGTTACAAATTCGAATTCTGGCACCTACTATCTGGGCACAACTTGGACGCAGCCCAGGGTCAGCGTCCTGTGAAGTAGTCTGCAGGGCGACAAGTGTACGAAGGAAATGACGGAGTAGGGCAATCAGAACTTCCAACATGACCGAATACTCGCTCATACTCGGTCAATAAATTTTGTGAAATCAGTACTTATCGTACCACCCAGGCACCCACCGAGTTCGTGATAAGTCAGTCGTGACAGACTCCAGACTACCGGTTGATCGATTGAGTACGTCGCACAAGTATTGCAATTCTGTTTCATAGCAGACTGTCCGGCAACAAGTGAGGCCTTCCCAGAAAGTGGAGGAACAAGATGGTGTTGAGCACAAGCTGGATCAAGCAAAGACGTATCTTGACCGTTGCAACAAGCAAAACGGACTTATGCCAACGGATTACGGGGGTATCACAAAGCCTTTGGTTGACTCCACGCAAAATCAAGGGTGTCGATGTGCCGCTTCCAATGGACAAACTGTGGCGACCGTATAATCAAATACGTCGGAAACGCCTTGAAAATAGGAGCCGGCCAGACGGAGGGCTCTCACCCGTGCGGGTTCACGTATGCCCCGATGGGTCCGTCTGCTGACATCACCATGAGGTCAGACTTGCTGGCGATGACGACCTCGCACGCCTTGCACCGCAGCTTGTCCAGCGTCTCCAAGATCTTGGTCTCCTTGCGCAGCCGGTATACCGTGCCGACCGTCTCCAGCAGCTCCTGCCTGCACGTAACATTGCCACGTCAGCAGGAATATGAAAGATGACGTCAGCACGGAACTTTTGAGGAAGCCTTTCATTGGCTCCAGGATCTTGGCCTCCTTGCGCAGCTGGTACACTGTGCCGCTCGTTTCCAGCAGCTCCTGCCTGCACGTAGAACTGCTACGTCAGCATGATCATAAATATGACGTTAGCATGAGAAGGTTTTGAAATGTCTTTGCGTTTCCCGCTCAAGGTACCGTTCATCTTGAGAAGCTCCTGCCCGCAAATAGAACCTTCCTTCGATTGCCAGATGAGTCGTGGTTTCAGACGATCTCGGCAAATTTCAATCCCTAGAGCGCTTTTGCATTTTAACGGAGAGTCTTGCTCGGCATGTGGTCGCGCCCCGCAGCGGCAGCCCTACTGGCAAGATCGTACGATAGCGCCTCCGGCATGTCGTGGAAACGTTCAGGGAACCGTTCGATTTTCCACTTTCCAATCAGCATTCAGAACTTGACCCTCTATTAGCAGCTTTCAGCCCAGAAAAGCCTCTGGAGAGCGCACAAGGTTACCTCCTGCAGCTCTGGCTGCTGGCGACGTAGTCGGAGAGCCTTTCTAAGCTCTTTCAGGCTCTGAGAAGAGCCCTGACCAGTTCTTTCTCAGCATAAACCCAGAATTGAACGCTTTTGCTCCCGAAAGAAAAAGGGGTAGCTTACACGGTAGCGTCCTGCAGCGGCGAAATGTTGGCCACGTGATAGGACACCGGTGCCGAGTAGTTCAGACACTCGGAGAAACATCGCCCAAAGCACCCGTCCACCATGAGCGAGTTCGATCTCAACAGTGGGTCAAATACCTAAACTTGAGCGAGTTTGTCCAAAAAGTGGGCCAGCTCACCGGGTGGCTTCTTTGCAAAGACAAGTTGCTTGCGACGAAATACATTAGCGCTTCCGGCTCGTGGCATTCAGTAAGACATGAGTGGGATTAACCTCAGAAGTAGATAAGCTTACCTAAATATGACCGAGTCTGTCTCCGAAATGTGGGTCAGCTTACCTAGTGGCGTCTTGCAGAGGGAGATTGCTGGTCGACGAAGTAGAACAGCGCCTCCGGCTCGTAGCACTCAGTCAGACGTGCGTGAGTGTATCTCAAACGTAATCCAACTTACCGAGGCACGAGCGTCTCTGTTCAAAAATGGGGTCAGATTACCTAGTGGCGTCTTGCAGAGGGAGATTGCTGGCGACGTAGTAGGACAGCGCCTCCGGCTCGTTCAGCAGGTCGTCCACTTTGCGGGCGGGCACCACCTGCCGCATCAGGTCCGCCACGCGCCTCGCCAGCACGTACGCATCGTGCATCCTGCAGAAATGCCGAGATCGTTTACACTCCTCTTTGGCGAAATGTTTATGTGTAGCTATCCCACGGAAGAAGCTACTTGGAAGCTCGAAGGTGTTGCTTTAGCAGCATAGTAGTAGCATCGGGTCTGGCACACCGCACAAACACGTTCGCGTCGTACATATGCATCCTGCATTGGAAGGGATGGTGGTTGAGTTTTGCCGAAACGATCTGTACCGAAAAGCCAACGAATACTTGGAAGCGCAAAAGGGGTGCCGTAAGTTTAAAGAAACTTACTCAGCACGACCGTCAGGATGGTTCTTTTGAAATTCGTACATTTCAAAGAAACAAAGACAGTTTCCTCGGTTGAAGAGAACCAATAAACTTTTAGCCTCACTAGAGCTTACGAAATCCAGTAAATTTACGCCCCGGGGGAATTTTAAGTGTCAGGGTACCAACGCTCTCTTTTTGGAGCTCAAAGACGCCAGAAATACGACCCTGTTCGAGCTCCCTGACCTTCTCACCATCGGCAGGACCACAAGAAGCTGACGCAATTCTGTGCACAAACTGCAGATGTGAAGCTGTTTGAATCGGCGCCTGGATCAAAAGTTACGCCCTTCAAACCTCTTGAAAACCCTGCTGGGAGACGCCAATGCCCCTAAACGCACCGCCGTCCGCACACCACACCACCCCACCTCACCTGTACACCCAGTACGGCCAGGCGCTCAGCGGCGCCCGGATGCGCCACGTGGCATCATCTGCCGCCCACGCCTTCGACACCCCCTGCCATTTCTCCGTACTCTCGTCCCCATCACCTGTATCACCCGATTGGCGGGGACTGGCTTTCGGTGGAGTTTGGTCGTGTCTGCTTCCGTGTCTCTCTCCTTGGAAACCCCCCCAGCGGCAGTTAGTACCCGCCCAGCGTGATTCGAGCAACCGCTGAATGTCCACGTTTTGGGGGGTGGCTTCGCCACCAACTCTCACCCCCCGAACAGTTTCTGCCCCGATACTCGTCTCAGCCAAATCGCCCGCAGCTTGCGAACCCGCTTCTTCTTCCTGGGTGATCCCCCTCACCAAGTCGTGGCGCACGGGACAAAGCTCCGGCCACACTATTTCTGGACCGTGAGATGCTTCCCTTCCTCCCCCTTGTTTCTCTTCTTCCGGCGCCCTCTCAGCCGACGCCGCTACCTCCCAGTCTTTTCCCAGCCTCCGCTGCTTCCGTCTCTTGTACGCCGGCAGGAACAGCGCGCTCCGAGGGGTCGCCACGTGGCGCGCTCCCTGCCTGCCAGCTGGCGGCGTCGCGCCCGCCCCGATTCCTGAAATCCCAGGCGGCCGTTCCGCTGGCTCGTCCGCTTTCCGTGTCGCCCCTTGCGTCTCCCGCTCCTCTTCGATGGGAAAGTCGAAAACGGCGAGTCCCGGCCGTTCGCGCAGTCGCCCCAAAACGCCGCCGACTGCGCCGCCGTCGAAGCTGACGCGGCGCCGGCTTCGACGGGGTCCGGAGGAGGGGCTGACGTCAGGCGGGTGGCGTCCCCTGCGGGAGATTGAGCTGGTTGGAATGCCGCCGGTACTGGCCCGGCGAGGAGTCCTGCACGGGAAACAAAAAACGGAAGCTTTGGTTGCGTGCCGCTCATCCAGGAATTCAGGACGTCGGCAAATCAATTCCTGAATTATCACGAACGTTCTCCGTCGACTGCTCTGACCCTTCGTCACTGTGCGGGTAGGCTCCGTACCTTGAGAAGACCGATTGAAATACAGGAAGTTGTACGTTCCGGTATCGAATATGCTGCATGGGGACCGAGCGGCCGTGAAGCTCTTCAGAAAGAACATGAATGCAAAGCGAGGAGAGCCAAGTTGCTACTTACCTTGTGTATGTTGTTGGTGAGAGATTAGTTGGGCTTCCGGCAGATTCCCGGGACTCCAAAGCAGAGGGGACACGTCCGCTTTGAGGAGACGGCCAGGCTGCCAGCTGGCCAAAAGCCGCGCGCGGCATGCGCAGGGGCCTCTCTTCAGGAATGATCTGCACGTGCGCCGACGCCTGTACACGATAATGACCCGCAACTTCGTTGGAAACGTTTTTGGGTAGCCATGGCCGGTACCATTCTAAGGGGGCGCTGATTGAAACGACAACGAAAACTTATTATGAAGCTTCCGCTGCAAAAGCAGTTGAGAAAATCGAGAAGGCATCCTATACGAGCACGCATCCGCCAGTTGCCAATAACCAACGGACGGCTCTACCGGAGCCATCGCGTGACATCTCCGGTTTGTGGGCAACAATCAAGCCCCGCTTATGCTGACATTACAGTCAAAACTGCCGCGTTCTTTGCAAAAATTTCTCTGCAGGAATTCCAATGCCACATTCAAGGGTTAGAAATTTAGCAAATGAAGGAAGAAACGGTTTTGATCAAGCAGCGAGCATTCCTCACGGAGCTACCACTTGACCAGTCGGACTCACCGAGTCGTCCCCCTCGAAAGAGATCCTCCGCACGTAGAACCGCTGGCGGCCCTTTGCGACGATGTTGAAGGTCCCGTCGTCCTGTTCTTTCACCTGCCGGATCTGCACACAGAAGAAACGGAGCTTTACTTTGTCAGCCACAGAGTTGCTTCGGCAGTAACATTGGGACCTAGGAGATTGACACGAATGTCTCAAAGACCTGCTTGACGGTGGGTTGTAAGCGACAGCCCAGCTACGAAAGGTGGCAACACACGCCCCTTGAGAAGCAACCAACGTCAAGTAAATGGGAAGTATCAAAGTCGGTATCAAGCTGAGAGCCTTGTCGATCCCCTATCGTTCTTGCACCAGCCGAGAATCTCAAAGTGCGTAACAGAAGGGCTGACCCGTCCATGCAAACCTCTGTGATAAACAAAAGCCTTCTCCGTGAATCACACGAACGACCACGCTTTTCTTAACCATGTTGATCCGAACTCAATTGCAACATAGCCGGAGTTTCGAGGGCAAAGAAATAAACATTTGGTACGTTAAGTATTCCCACCTCTGCAGTTGTTCCGACAGTTGCGACACCAGGACCCTCCGGATGAAGGTACCCTCGGCACAGGACCTGTGTAGATGGAGAAAGCTCACTATCAAATTCAACTTTGTCTTCGAAAGTATCCGAAAATCCAAATATATCTGCAAGTTGGCCATAATTTCATATTTTGGCCTTGCGTATACGTTGAGCTTTTGGTCCAAAAAGAAGCCGAAAGCCACTGCTGAAGTATCACGATCTCAGATTCGAATCGAATGAGGATAAAAGATGCTGACCAGGAAACGGCATGTGAGTGATACCTTGCAAGATAGCACGCACCGGTCAATCATTGCACATCAAGAGAGCCTCGGTCAGATTGGTTACGACTTCGTACCACTGCAATGGTGCACGCGTGTGCCGTCTGCCGCATGGCCCTCCTGACGGCGCTTTGGAAGCGCGGCTGGATCACACGGAGCGGCAGGGAGTCACCCGGGAACAGCACGACACCTGGCGCAACGGAAGTGGCTCACTTCAAATTTACACCGGGGTCCGTTGTAGAGTCCGAATCTTGATGGAATCTTAAGAGTCCAAAACGGGACGAAAGCGTCTGCAACTTGAGTGTTATCATGCCACTCCGATGTTGCCTCTTAGGGAACGTGACGCCCCGTAGGTCCCGTAGAGCAGAGAGGAAAATTAAGTCCTACTGGACATGCATTTTTCATCGCTTGAGGAGTATCACGACATGGAAACCGGAGACGGATGTCACAGGAATCGACAAGAAGCATCACAGGTGTTGCCAAAGCCTTCATCCTTGCGAAACGGACTCCTCATTCTACAATAAAAGAAAATTGAAAGTGTGACTATGAGCAGACGTGCTTACCATCAAGATAGAACAAGGGTAGGGTGACGAGCGAACCGCCCTCCTCGAAAGCCCTTCCCCCAGCGACGTCGTCGAACTCTTCACGAACAGGAATGAATGGTAAGCAAGCACTGTTGGCCTCTGTTAAAGTGTCCGAGAGGTGCGCCTTTAGCAACGTGTCACTTGCCAAGTATCAGACAGGATGTGATATATCAAACAAACAACAAAGATATACACACTTTTACCTCAGGCAGATAGATAACAGACTCAACACGATCGCAACTCAACGAAGTCATTGTAAAAGGAAGGAGACACCACCGATTATAAGAGACTGTGATCTGCATTCATCGAGGAGGGAGGTGCTGTCTCCATACTGTAAGGATATACTAAGAGAGTTGATACTTACCACCTAGGTAGGTGTGCATGGCAGGCAGCGTGGTGTCAAAGGTGATGTCCTCCCTCCGATTTGCAGCCAACCTTGGAGTTTCAGGTCTGCATGACAAGCTCAGCTTTATGCGACTGACGTAAGTTGAAGTTCGTGACACATGATCTGACAGCGAACAACAACCAGGCGGCAGTCCAGGTTCAGGTTGTAGCGAAAGAATCCTCCTCACCTTAAAAGGAACAATCCAACTTGTTTGCACTCACAACGTCCTGGTGCATGGCATCGACGATTTGCGAGCTCACTCTGGTATGGAGAAATTCCATCTACTGCATGATACAAAAGGAGGCACCCGAGCAAAAAAACCGCGTCTAGACCGAGCGCCTCAACCGCACCACCACCTACCTCTCCTCGTCACTATCCGTTTCAGACGCGTCGGACATTTCCTCCTCCTCTAGTTCCACCTGGTCCAGCTGCCTGATGCTTGCTAGGAACTGCTGGTCCCTCTGGCTAAGGTTAGTCATCAGAGGCTGCTGCTGGGAGTCTGACTCGGGCTGCGAGATCTCAAAACGATCGTCCTCCTCCAAGTCTTCCTCCATGACACGGCTTTCGGGTGCCGCATCACGTTGGCGCCGCACATGCTCTTGGTACAAGCTGTCATACCGCTCGGAGTCGCTGTCTCCATCCTGGTCGCCAGGCCCTTGTTCTTGCTGCAACGTCTCCCCAACTTCAGGTGCATCGATGCTGGCTTCTAGCCCCCGCAACTGGAAATCACCGGTGCCATGTGATGGAAATATGGAATCCCTTGCATTATGCTCAGGCCTCATGTTTTCCACACTCCATGTCGCTTGTCCACCTTCTCTTGCAGGCAAATCTTGGCTGCAAGAAACTTCTTCACACAATTGCTCCCCCGTCTTGATGACTTCTGCACCAGCTACATCAATCTCGACTGAAGCTGTCCCAGTGGGATCTTCTGACAATGTTTCAAAGATGCTTCCCCCGCCCTCTTGGCTTTCCGGTACATTGACTCTCCCCAACTGAGTACGAAAGCAGCTCGTTTCATTCTCGTCTTCCGACTCCTCCTCCAGCTCAAAGTCCGATTGCAAGCGCCTTATGTTGTCCATCAGACTGACGTCCCGCTCTGTCAACCCAAAGCTTGAGCCTTCTTCCTGGGTTAGTCGCCCCAGTCCCGCTCCACCATGATGCATGCTGCTTCACAAAGGTCGGTCTGAGTAAACCAGCAGACAGCCTTAATTGTGGCCCTTCTAGTGGCGCCCCATTGAGCGACGCGTAGGTAAGAAGCTTGGACGGCTCAATATTATTGACCTTCTGAAGACATCTTCCTGAATAAGTCCTCACCAATGCCATTCAATGACAAGCTCAGGACTGCAGTTTTCATGCAAATTGCAAATGCGTTCAGTATAGACTGTACAGTAAACAATTTCTGCCACAACTTGAAGTGACAGATCCATGACTTGGATTTGAACCTGGCTCCGTGCTTGTTCACGCAGAGGAACGTGTGCATTCACACCAACAAATGAAGAAGACCCGGCTGCCAAACTCGCATTTCCAGATGAGGAATCCTCTGCGGTTTCAGCAGATTGGGTTTGAATTTGGACACCCCCTAAAATCGTCCTAAAAACTGCTTTCTCTTCAGCATCAATGTTTTGTCAAGAGTTTTTGATTTTCGCAGCATTTCAAGCATTTAGAACTGACAACAGAACATCATAGAACATTATCATAGAACAGTTGGCCAGACCAGAGGATAAAAGCCACTCAGGATTCAGGAATGCACAAGAGGCGCCACGCAGACCATTGTGCCTAAAGCAGAGTTGGATCAATGGCGGAGCAGGGTGTAAAAGCTGGGGCGGAGGCTGCTGAAGCTACGCCTGTGACACATGAGCAACAGCTGGGCATTGTGCAGAGGTGCTTTAGCGAGGAAGCTTCAGATGTGGTGGTGCACTTTCAGATTATCAAATTTGAACAGCAGGTAAGCACAGAGTCTGATATTGGATTCAATGACAAAAAGTATGTGACCAGAGCTTTCAAGTAGAATAAAGTAAAGGCTTGAGGAGGGGAGAAGGGGCTTCTTTCCTCATAATCAACATGCTGGGGATTTGCTGTTGACCATACGTGTTGGCAGTTTGCTCTCCACATGCATCATCTGGCGGAACTGGCAAGAACAACTTCCTTCTGCAAAAGCTACATCAAGCAGGCAAAACGTTGAAAATGTAACAAAATCCTTTATCTTACAGGGTCAAAGCGATGATGTTTGATTCCACCTTGACATCGTTGATCATGCTGAAAACCCAATTGTTTCCCTGGTTGACACCTCCTAGTAGCGATCTAGGAAAATCTCACTGTGGCTTAGTGCTCTGGTGATGTAGTCTACACTTACAAATATATGGGCGACTCCACATAGGCAGCGGGCCTCCTGCATGGTCGACTCAGGCTCACTTCGTTCTTTGAAGTGTTCATTATGTGGAGTCATGAAAACACATCTGCGGACTCTCCAGACAGTGTTCAACTGCCTGATCCACCACCTCCTTTTAAAGATACCACTACCACCACTACCAACCTTTGGTGCAAACTGTCTATTTTGAAAAGGCTGCCCGGGTTTCGGCTTCAAGCAGGCAAGATCATTTCATCATCTGGCAGTGATATATATTAACCCACAGAAAGCCCTGCTTCATCTGGGCAGAATAGACGTCTTTCTGGCGTACAGATCAAGAAGGGGCCTCAACAACAAGCTCATCAAAACGTCTGACTTGCTAAATATGCGTGTCTCACATGCCCGCAGTACTACGTTTGGGTTGGGTGCAACTCTGCGGCCTTCGGAAGTCTCTACGCAGCCGTACCAACCAAATTCGACCCGCAGCCAAGCGTTGCGCAGCTGATAACCAAAGGAGGGGATGCGGGGGCTCTGATGGCACAGAGGCTTTCCAAACGGACGGGATGTCAAATATTCCTGGCGTGCAGCCTGCCGTCCAACTCTTCTTCGATAGAGGTGAAGTCGACAGATCCGCTATCTTTTAACATCTGTGACCACGCTCTCGTTTGACCCACTCACTGCTGTCACAGAACGCTTATTTCGACCAAGCATTGGAGCTGATCACACCTCCGCTTCGATTTGGCTGCAAATCAACTCACACAGTATACTGGAGGTTGCCAAGGCTCCTCACTAACGTGGAAGCTCACTAACTAATACACATGGTTGAAGCCAATGGTTTTGAAAGTAGGTCCTTGATTGACTGCAACGTTTTGAGTCCCTGAGTGGATCAAACGGAATGGTTGCGCGCAGTCAACTTTTTGTCTTGCATCACTTCCAAAGGCGCTGTATGGGCTCCACAAACACCTACCTCCGCTGTACATGAGTCTGTCGCGATTGGTCGATTTTCGACGGCCAGTTCGACATCCGCAACCGAGCCGCCTTTTGCGATGCTCATTTGATGGGCCCGCTTTTCGAGACTGAAACAGTTTCGGAATGTTCTGACCCGACACTAAAGCTGCCTCGAACTTAAGCGTGTTCATCGACAAGCATTTAAAAATCGAATGCAGGAGGCATCCTCAATATGCATTTCGTGAGCAGTTTGTCCAGGCAGCTTACGAGGCCTTTCTTCTGATCCTGCAGGCTTTCGCAGAACGGCGAATCCTCCAAGAAATTCGAGAGTTCGATTGCCTTCCGTCAAGTAGTGGACCCCCTGTAAGTGAGGATGACAGTAAACACTATGCATAATTTCATTTTGAAGTTTGTTTTGGTTCTGTACACGCCCGCTATTGTGCGAGGTGCTAAAACGTACTCGCCCTTGTCTATGCTGCTTCAACTTGAAATACTGATGCAGATGATGGTGTGGTAGCATGTGCGGGTTCCTGTTCGACAGTTGGCAAGGCCTGTAAGCTTATCTCGATATTCATACCTAAAACTTACCAGCTTCTTGGGCTTGTCGAGCTACTTCAAAACTGCGTCACCATGATACTATGCTATCTTCATTAAGCCTGTCTATCTTACGTGGCCACAAGCCTCGCCTTTCAGTGATTCGACTTTCCGATCTTCGTACAAGATTCCATTCCGACCGTAACCGACACAGGCTCGGTCTGAAGAACGCTTGCCTTACAATGTGAAGGCATGATCGTGTGGTGCACATTTGGTTGACTGTGTCTGACCATCACAAAGAATTCACGTCGGCCTCAGCTTTCTTCGGGGACCAAAAGGAGCACTTTGGTCCGCTTATACATCACAACTGGGAAACGCTCGTGCAAATACTTGTCGGTGGAAGATCACGGATTCGTGCTCCACAGCTTCTTCTGCCTCTCATGACCATCGTTATCCCGTCTTTATCGACTACTGATGACTACCTATCCAATTATTCAAACTGCCAAGTCTTTCCAAACACGATTGCGTTGCCTGCTGATTTTGCCGAACTTATGACAAGCTTTATACTTGTTATACGTTTGTGAGTGCACCAACGATTGAACCCCATTGCGCACGCCCGGGCTTGTTGTGATCCTGCCAGATCCTTCCGCAAAGTCGACTGCACATTCTTGTGACTGCTTAACAGAGGATAGAGAGTTCGTCAAGAACCAAGTAATAGCTGGCGGCATAACGGCAAGACCATCTCAGAGTCTAAAATGATCGCATGCAGTCTATGGAGGGGCTCTCAGACGAGCACGCAGAGCTAGTCTCGGCAGCACCGTTCGGTACTGTCCGCTGCTTGTTCGACAAGGTTACGCCGAAGCCTTATGTATAGTTTTCGTAAGACGTGCGCACTTAAGGCTTCTCACCGCATAGTCTTGGGTCACGAGCGGGGAAGACGGCGGGGGAACGTGTGCTCAGGTCTTCCAAGCTGCAAACTTCGGGAGAGTAAGCGGCCAGATGCATCTAGTACAGTGCTTTCTATAGAGCAGGCTGCCGATTGTAGAAGCCGCCAGGGGAAGCCCAGAAGTTAGAGGTGTGGCGGAGAAGGACGCTCGACACCAACGGAAGGGAGAGACGAAGTCAAGCCGGACGAGACACCGTTAATGCTCACCCCGGGAATAGAGTTGGGGTTCCCATGATGACGTGAGAAGTGTCATCCTCGAAGGCCCAGTGAGGGCTTTTACCAGGGACAAAATGTCGGAGTGGGATACTCGTACTGAGAACTTGTACCGGCTGTCATGAACTGATCTGTTATCTATTCGGGAATCCAGATCCTTTGAGACACTTTTGAGATCCGCTTCTGCGTGTGTATCAAGGTAGGGTACCTACTGATCTAACTGCCGGGGGGGTATTGGTCGTGGACGGGAGAAGGCAAGCGCCTCCAGTCACATCTCTAGTCACATCCAAACACACAAGTGCGCACGTTTCGGACGCGTTTCGGAAAACTTCGTTCTAGCAGTCAGTCTTCCATCATCAAGTCGATGCTGCCATTGATGTGACAGGAACTCGAGTCGAGCTACGAACTCGACTTCCTGAAACTCTCTTTCACAGGGAGTGTCCTCTTCGCTTCCATGATTTAAAGCGTAACTAAGTTCCGGTTCTCCAATCTGCAAGGGGCGCTCCTCCAAAGTAGCAGTTCGGAAGACCCAGAAGTGCCTCTGTTAAAGAGTAAGGTTGTTTCTCCACCGCCCAAATGCATCAAAAACAGGCCTGCCCTGCCAAAGAAGCAACTCTTCGAAAATATGTAAGCAGGACCCCGTTCGAAGAAGCGACCGGAAGCGCCAGATAGCACCAATACCTCTTCTTGCAATCAAACCACAGAGGTTCTCCGAAAGAAGACAGTTGAAGTTTGCACACAGGTCCACTTCTTGCCCGCTCCAGGCAATCCCCTTTGAACGTAAAATGTAAGTATCTATATAGGCACACCGGGAGCAACTCTTTTGCGACAAGTAGTAAGATACAAACACAGCCACACCAAGAGTAACTTCTACCCCGTCTTTCAGAGATGGTGGAAGACGCGCGGCACGCTCTGGAGTCCGTGAGCCTGGCCCCCTCCCCAGTGGTCGCCGCGATCGACCTCGGGACAACGTACTCCGGCTTCTTCTACGCCTACCGGCGTGACCCGGGGAACATTTACGGCGAATACAACTGGCCGGGGCAAGTGGAGGCAATCGGTCGCCCTTATTGCAAGACTTCCACCACGTCTCTATACCAGGAGACTTCTCCGGGGGGTGGCTGGAAGTTGCTGGAGATCGGATACCCCGCTATGCTGCGCCACCTGGACTACTTGGGCCCGGGGCAAGACACCGGGGAGGGGCGGCAGGTGGGGTGATCATGACAAGACGTCCCTGCAAAGAATCACTGCAATCTTCCCTGAACCTCGAATCGTTTTCATCGTCTGAAAAGGTAAAATGTAGATGCCGAGTCCGGGCTCAGGTTTTCCAGACGTCCTCAACTGCATGCGCGCAGAAGGCTTGGTCGCATGTGGCTGTCAAAACAGGGATAAGCAGGGGTAAAAACCAAAGGCTTGGTCGCTCCTTTGAGACGTGAAACACTGTCAGCGTCAAAGCCTCGTTTGTATGCTGATGAGCTATTGGCATCTGACACTTTGTGGTCCAGGACCATCGCGGCTCTCGGGATAAGGTTCATAAGGCCCTGCTTTCAAGCGACAACGATGGAGACGGTCGCTAGGCACAATTCCGAAAGTCGTTGAAGAAGGAGGAAGCTTGAACCTTACTAAACGGGCTTAGTTAACGTGAGCAGATTCCCACACTCCAACAGCTTCCACATAGTGTGTACTAAATCTTGAAAGCTTCACTAACCAAACGTGTGGGAAACTAGTAACGCGAGCTTTTTCGTTTGCAGGTGATGCTGAGCCGCGTGAAGCTTTACCTGGCGAGCGTGGAGTACGCGCGCGGGGGGGAGGGGCTGCAGCTGCCGGAGGGGCTGACGGTGCGGCGCGTGCTGTCGGAGTACCTAGCGGAGATGGGGGCCATGGCCGTCAAGGAGATCCAGGCCAAGCTGGGGGCGTATATCAAAAAGGTGGGAGGGAGCTCCGAATTTTTATGCTCTTGCGAATATGCGGGTAGTATTTCTGTCTGAAGTAGAGAGAATGGGAAACAGGTTCAGGCCAAGCTGGAGGCGTATAGCAAAAATTTAAGGGGGCGATTCCCGCGGTTTTCGTGCTCTTGCAAACATGCGGGTGGTATTCTTGAGTAGAGAGACTGGAAAAGGGGTTGTCGAAGAATTCCAGGCCAAGCTGGGGGCGTGCATCGGAAAGGTGGGGGGGAGTTTCCGGCTTTTCCCATACTTGGTGAAACCGGATGTTCTTCGGAGTAGAGATAATGGAACCTAATTGAGACTCAAGCTAAGCTGGAGGCGTACCTGCATTTAACTTACTTATGCGGGGGACTTTGAACCGTTCCCTTGAACCCTTCCTGTCACAAAACCAGCCCCAGCGGTGCCTGACATTGATTAAGACCTCCTTCCATACTCAAGAGTACCGTTCCTGTCGAGACCTCCACCGCGAGACGACTCAACCATTCGAGGCTGCCCCTTGAACCACAAACCCTAGTCACAGTAGTCCAAAATGTCATGGAGCTTGGCAGTCACAAACACCCAGCAGCAGTCACATTCTCTAGAGGAATCCGCTTTGCAACTTTCCACTTCCTTTCGCTTCCAAAATCCGGAGAATTCCTCAGGTCCGAAACCTTCATCCCTGCAGTCCGTCATCCAATAGTGCTTGACATTCACATAACGACCAGCGCAATCTTATCCTCATGTTCGAACTCTTTCGGGCTCAATCTCGGCTCCATCTTCTCCTCTCTGGCAAAGAACATTACCATCTCGACCATTCTCGATCTTCGACTCGGTGTTGACGCAAAGGTCCAGAAAGGTAAACCTCTCAGAACCGGGAACTCTTCCCCGCAGTCCGACATCCAGTGGTGCCTGACCGTGCCCGCCATTTGGGACGAGCCCGCGAAGCAGGAGATGCGGCGCATCGCGGAGGCGGCGGGGCTGATCGGCCCCGGCGCGAGCCCGCACCCGCTGCTCATCGTGCTCGAGCCCGAGGCGGCCGCCGTCTACTGCGACAAACACATGGCGGCCGCCAGGGGGGGAATCAAGCGCGGCGACGTGTTCTTGATCGCAGGTGGGCTCTTATGTCGTACTCACTTGTTTTCATGCTTTACTTCCTTCTTTACGACAAGCGCAGGGCGGCCAGCAGGGCAGGGATCAAGCGCGGGGAACTTTTCCATTGCAGTTGGGCTCTAGATCTGCTTTCTCCTTGTCTGTTCCGTATTTTTTTCACCTTGCGACAAGGTACACGGGCAGCCGTGCAGGTGCGAAACAACCGTCGCGGATTGTTCCACACCCCAGGTGGGTGTGCGATGCGGCCTCAAGGAATGCTCAAGTATCAGATGCGTTTTGCGAACACGAATTGGGAATCGAGAGTCATGATAGGAGCATCCCGCGTTCACAACGTTGTTCACCCTCACAACACTGGCCGGGTGTTATGCGGGTTCGACTTCATCGAGGTAGGCGAAGAGTCCGTTCCTTTCAACCCCTAATAACGTGTCATGGATCTTGGGAAGTAGGCAGGTGCGTTAGCACACGTACTCGGGCGCTTGACTGCTTCATCTACATCCTCTTGGTCATCTGCTTCGTTCTGAGCTACTCTCATACGCCTCTGCAGACGTCGGCGGCTGACTTTCAAATCCGCGGGCGTTCAAACAAGCGATTCCACCTCTCTATTCAATTCAACACATACTTACGATCTTGTCCCTTCTGAATCTGTTTTGAGATGTTTTCCAAGAAAGGTGGGACGGACCTGTTCGTACCGAAAGACCTCTCTTTCTTATTGTGTCTTTTGCCTCTCCTTGGATCCTGCTGATCTTCCGGTACTCATCTGCATCCTTGGAGAGTAAGCGGTCCTAAAGTGGTAGTGCCATCCCGACTGACCATTCGACCATTGTTCGCAGACGTGGGCGGCGGCACGGCGGACCTGATCGTGCAAGAGAAGATGGACCGCTCGCTGCGCGAGGTGTCGCGCGGCAGCGGCGACCTGTGCGGGGGCACCTACGTGGACGGCGCGTTCCTGGAGTTTCTGGGCGACCGCATCCCGTGCCTGGAGCGCTTCCTGGACGCCCACCCGCGCCAGATGGTGCTGCTCATGTCGTGGTGGGAGCAGCAGAAGCGCGGCTTCAGCGGCGCGGGCAACCCGGTCGTGTTCGACCTGCCGGCCAGGCTGGCGGCCATGTGGGAAAAGGAAGACTCCGAGGTGTTTGAGGACAGGTGCGTTTTGCATTCCGACGTCATTCAATCATCTGGCCTTATGATTTTGCCGAAATTTGTACCGCTCAGAAGTGAGAGTTTCTCATCCGACGCTCAGCGACCGATCGCTCAGATTTATCTCACGGCTGGCAGGTCTTCTAAACCTTGAAGCAGCACGCTTGGATTCCGCCGCGCTTCTGTCTTGACCACCAAAAGCTTTCGGCCTGCTTTCCGTCCTGAATCAGGTCTCGTTCAAGACCCGACTGTGATCCCCAAGTGATCCGCCGGACTGTCTTCCTGCAGGGGCCGGCCATGTATCACCCCCGCCTCGTATGCTCCTTATCCGGTTGGAAATATTAACCCTTTGAAACGCACTCTGTCCTTTTCTTCTGGCCGGCCGACTCCGATCTGCCGGATCCGCAGGGACCGGCTGATCATCACCCCCGCGGAGCTGCGCTCCATCTTCGACTTGCATGACGCTGTTATTCCGTCGGTGCGCAATTTGGCCTGCTCTTCTCATTGCCTGCAGAGCGAAGGGCTCCGCCCAGATTTATTGCGGAATCCGTCCATACTTGACCGCCGGAATCCGTTCTTTCCGCAGGCACCGGCTGATCATCACCCCTGAGGAGCTGCCCTCCACCCGATCTGGCTATGCTTTTGGTGCGCAATTTGATCTGCTCTTCCCGGTGTCCGCAGATCGCCGGAATCCGCCCAAGTAACTGCCGGATCCCGTCCTCTCCGCAGGGACCGGCTGATCATTAGTCCCGCGGAGCTGCGCTCCATCTTCGACCCGACGCTGGACAAGATTTTGGCGCTCATCGACGCGCAGCTGGCGGCGAGCCCCAAGTGCGACCAGCTGTTTTTGGTCGGGGGGTTCTCCCAGTCGCCGTACCTCATCAAGCGCGTGACCGACACGTTCGCACACAGGGTGGCTAACATCGTTACGCCGCCCGAGCCAGGTAAGAGTAAAAATGAAGCCAAAAAGGTCTGGTTGGGGAACTTCCCCAGTCATCGAGGTTTATGAGATTGTCAGGATATGTTTTGCGCGAAATGGTCATGAAAGCTCTTGCGCACAGGGTGGCAAATATTGTGACGCCCCCGGAGCCAGGTACGACTCAAATTGAGGCAAGAAAGCTTTGGTCGGGGAATATGCGCGGTCGCAAAAGTCTGTGAAATAATCAAGAACGCTTTTGCGTGCCGGGTGGCCGATATCGTGACGCCCTCGGAGCGAGGTTAGACTCCAAAGAACGAGGCCAGAAAGGTTTGGGCGGGGGGTTTTACCGGTCGCGCAAGTTTGTGGAAAGGTCACGAAAGCGATTGCGCACCGATGGCCTTTATGGTGACGCCCCCGGAGCCAGGTAAGAGCCAAAATGAAACCCGGAAGTTATGGTCGCGGGTTTCTACCGGTTGCCCAGATTTATGAAATGATTATAGGAAGCTTTTGCGCCCCGGTTGGCCAACCTCGTGACGCCGCCCGAGACAGGTAAGGCGGACTGGGGCCTTACTTGAGAAACCAATCGATCTTGCTGATCTACGAGGTCGGGCCACCGTTTGACCTATACAGTGCTGGCCATCCTCTGTAAATCATCGCCTTTTTCCATGTTCACCTTTCCCCGATTGGTTTCCCCTGCCCGCTCTTTGGGCGCAGTCCAACTTAACCTTCTCTTTACCCCTTTCTCCAGGCACGGCCATCTGCCAGGGCGCGGTCCTGTTGGGCTGGACCCAAACCCCAATCTTGACCCATCTTCAACGTCCTGCCATTCTCAACCCCCTCCTAATCTTTTTCTCCAGGCACGGCCATCTGTCAGGGCGCGGTCCTGTTCGGGCTGGACCCGTCCATCATCGCGGAGCGCACCTCGCGCAAGACGTACGGAATAAAGTGCGACCGCCCATTCGAAAAGGGCGACCCCGAAGAGAAAAAATTCCTCCACGAGGACCACGGCTGCTTCTACGTCAGGGGCTCGTTCCACGTGTTCGTGCGCAACGGCGAGCAGGTAGAGATCCATACTATTGTCCTTCATCTGCATGTAACGCGCATGTTGTTCGAGCTTCACCGGTTATACAAAATGCGCCTATTCCTACGCGTTCTAAGTGTTTGCGCATCAATCAAGAAATGCTACAGACTAGTTTCTGGTGTTTTATGGTAATCATATTACTATCTGGGTCTTTTCTTTTCTGTCTTGGTGCCTTTCGCAACGAATCAGCGTGGCACAAGGAAACAACGCTGTGATGCCGGATGGCCTAGCCGAACGCGTGTGGTTGGACAACCCACACACACCTCACATTCGCGAATAGCCCGCTAATCTGCATCATTCTGGGGAGCCCAGATGCGTTGGCGTGAAAAGCACGATAATAATGGATACGTGATCAAGCGTGCTAACACGCTTCCGTCTTCTCTTTCTTCTCTACTTTCTTCTCTTCTTCTCTCCTCTTCACGTCTGTAGATTGCTTAAACAGGGCTTTCTATCACCTTGTCTGGCCTTCACGTGACCCGTTTCCGGGGCTCTCCTAGTGAATCGTTGCCACAATGCGTCAGGCTCTGGCACACTTTCTTTTTAGGATGCTCGGAAAGTCCTAAACTTTGCAATAAGGTAGATTAGTTAGTGCTTTAAAAACGTTATCACATGGCCCGAATGGCCCCTTCTGAACGAGAGAACTTGGGCGGCTCGAATTTTCAGGTTTCCCATCTGTCATTGAGCACCCCCTACACATCAGAAATACCTGCAAAAGCGGAACGCTTGCACTTTACCCGGCCAAAACAGGGCTGCCTACGCGTGAAAACGATTCTGCGCCGAAAGAACGGACTTTTCTTGGTTGTCCACTCCGAGTTTCCAAAGAGCATTTGGACCCGGGTCTGTTTATTATCATTCACGAATTTAGATTGATGAAAATGATTGCACTGAACGGCGTTTTTAATGGTGAGTTTTGAATGGTCTCTGCGTGTCCTTTTGAGCAGGTCCCTGTGGACTCCAAGATCAGCCACACTTTCAACCCCTCGCGACTCGACGACACTCAGAGTTCCGTCACTCTGCTGACGACAGACAAGCGGAATCCCAAGTTTGCAGATGACAACGGAGTGGAAGAAAGCTTCGGGTTTTCCATCGATCTGGGAATAATGCCACGTGGCCAGCGCTCGTTCGACGTCCAGATGAAGTTTGGAGCGACTTCGATAGAAGTGGCGGCGTTCAGGAAGGGGCTAGACGATGACGACGACCCGGTAGAGGTGAAGGTCGTCCGGTTTGAGAAGCGGTTTGCGAATAGCCGGAGCTATTAGAGGGGGCGCGCGCCCCGCGCGCCTGCTCGGACTCGTTTGCGGCTTGCTCTTTGAGCTGGTCCAGACAGGAAAGTCCTGTGTTCCTGAATTGAAGGAAGCAAAGGGAGATGGTTTGTGCCGCTTGGCAAAAGTGCTCAAACAGCAGACGGGCTTTGACATTGAGGTACGAGTGACCGATCCGAGATCGAGGTCGCACCAGATTCTCCATGGAGATTGTGATTACCTACACTGTAGTCGTAATTGTTGCTGAGTTTAGTGTACTTTGCTTCATAACCATTCTGGCCAGCATTTGAAGCCACAACTCAACAAGAGCTGCCGCACTATTGAAGCTCTGCGTTGCATTCGACGCTCGAATGTAAGCAGAGGCCTGGAATCTGACATCGGCCGGAAGGCACCATGGTTTGACATTTGACAGAGCTCAGTAGCTCCGATTGATTCGTCAGCCCGGCATTCTGCAGACAAAGCATGAGGACCTGGTACATTGAAATGCGTGTATGTGCGCATTGAGGTAACGATACCTCAAAAGATATTATGATCGAGTGCTTTTGCATGCATGAGTGCCTGTGGCAACACGTACGTGCATCCGGGATCATTAGTACGTGTTATAGCATGATGCTATAGTGCCCGGCCCGGCTAGAATACAATCTGCAATGATGTATAATGTCCATGCATATCGCGGACACCTCAAGTGACGATCGTCCGCACGCGGGGGATTCCTAATTCTGCCAATGCACCTTGAGCAGCTAGACACTAGCCGATAAAACCCATATGTGCATCGGTACGACGGATCCGCTAACTTCTTTGAATAATATCATTCTGAATCGTCATGCAAGAGCCGCCGCGTGCCAGGACAACTCTGCATGCGCTTTTTGAACACAGGAAAAGCACTCAATCGTATCTCTCTTCACGATCCCGCATGCAGCATATGAATCAAGAAAATGTGATCAGTGTTGCCACAAACAACAACGCGCCCAATCAGGCATAAACTTGGAGGTGAACCAAGGTTGAATGTGGCTTTTGCATGCGTACTAACTCGACAACGCACTTGTACCACCAGTTATTGTCTGGAGTCCCTGCTTTTGTTCGCAATCCGTCCACGATTTTACTCTCCTCCTCCACCACAGCATCCTACCTCCGGCCCCTCCGCCCCCCATCCGGCTTCGTCCGCTGCCGCACTTTCTGAGGGGTCTCGATCCCCAGGTCCCACTTTCCCCCCAAAGTGGGATCGTTCACCGTCGGAATCTTCCAAGTAATCGGTTGGGGCACCATCCGGGTTCGGACCCTCATCTCTTCTGGTGTATAGTACCCTCCCCCGACCGCTCGCACTCCAACCGGGCGGTCCCAGTCGATAGTGTCCCAGCCCCCAAGAGGGATGGGCGTTTTCATCTCAAACTTGGCCCGGGTTACGGGGTCGGTTAACTCCCGGCCCCACTTACGGTACGCCTGCGAAGATGATTCTAGTGTTCAGGTACGGACTCAGCAAGAGGTTTAGTTTAACACCCTGATGAAAGGCTTGGTTTGAACCTAGGAAATGGCAATGGGTTAAGGTTGAAAAGGTGTCCAGCTCATCTTGAAGGAGGGCGCTTTGTGACATTCGCGACAGCCAAAATTGAAGTGCAGCAGATGATGCATCTGAAGCATGCGCTCTTTGAGCAAACAAAGTGACAAGCGCTTCATCGACTCGAGCGGCTTGAGCTGTTTTGAGCAAGCGGCGGCTCCCCCACATCCCCGAACTTCTGAAACCAGGTTGACGAGAACGTGACAGTACTCATTCAAAGTCGACGACGTGTCACGGGTAACCCACTCCCCAACCAGGTAAACACTGAGAAACCTTACTGCGGCTCGCGACTTGAGCTGGTTCTTGATGGCGAGCGTGAGCGCGCAGCTGGAGCGCATGTAGTAGTTGAGCGCCTTGGTCGCGGAGTAGCCCAGCTTCCACTGGCGGGCGAGCGCGCGCGTGCGCGCGTTGAAGAAGCGCAGGATCTCCGTGTGGCTGTGGTGGATCACGTAGCTGCGGGGGCGAAGGAAGGAAGGATGAGAAGTGCAAAAGTACGATAAGCTCTAGACCAAACAGTAGGTCGGCAGGAGGAAAGAATTCCAAAGCTTATAGAGTTTGTTCTGATAGTCGTGACGGATATGTAGCTGCGGAAGTGCGCAAGAAGGAAGTACAAGAAAGTGGGTAATATTTGTACTCTTAGAACGGATTGGCAAGGACGAACCTCAGAAGACCGCCGTGGAATGCAATTTCTAGGATCGTCATTCTCAAGAAGCGAGGCGAGGGTTCGAAAATTGAAGATCAATGTTGGGCATGCGCAATACGCAGATGCACGGACTTCGACTGCTTGATAAGGGTTGGGCAATACTGAACGACATTGCAGAAGCGCCGAGTTTCCGCGAGTGGCGTCGCTTGGTGACAAAACGCGGCTGTGATTTGATTGAAAAAAAGTTGTGCTGCCGCCACTCAATTCCACAAATGCAGCACACAAGTTTGCCGCTCGACTACGGAAAGTAAGCCGCGTTCCCTTGTCAAGTGGCAAAGCGGGGAAAGAAACCTCAAAACAATTCAGGATGTTATATCATGTGTTTCGCCCATATTTGAATCAGACCACGTCACGCAACAGGAGCAGAGTGGAGTATGGTGACACTCCCAATCAAACCATACTTCTTTTGCCAGCGAAGTCTCGATGAAGGAACGCTCCATGTCGCGAAATGGCTACAACGGTGATAGAATAAGCTACAGACGAGCAAAGCACAAACCTCGTACGCGAAGCATGTGGCATCGCTTGAGGCTGATCTAAGAACCGCGACAAAGAACTAAACAAAACAGCGAAAGAAGAAAACACAACGAGAGACGAGTTACGAAAGCTGCGACTCACTAGACGCAGCAAGGCGCCCACACGAGCTGGCCCGACTTGATCTTCTGGCACAGCAGTTTTTGCCGCTCTAGTTCGGGCAAGACCTCCAGGAACACCGCGAAGCCGCGCTCCTCCATGGTCCGCTGCATAAACCATAAAGTAGATTACGTCAGGGTGACGTCACAGAAGCGCAAAAACCTCCGGAACCACCGCGAAGCGGCGCTCCTCCATGGTCCGCTGGTACGGACACGTTATTAAAAACGTCAGGGTGACGTCCCAATGATGCAAATGCTGGCTTCAGGGTGGTGCTGACCAAAGCTGTGTTTCAGGCTGTCAAAAAATTCTCGTTGGCGAGTTGCACATGTAACCACCCTCGGCAAAAAGGGCATAAAGTGAATCTTCCGGTTGGCTAGTTGCACCTGTAACCCTCGACAGATTGCGGAACGTCCCCAACCGTACATGATTCAAACGCTCAAAAGTTGGTACAAAACGTTTAAAAGTTGGTACTCACCTCGCAAAGATCGCAAAGACGGCGTGCCAATCACACGGACCGAACAGTCGTATTTCTGGAAAAAAAGCGAGAATCTCTAATAGAAGGAGCACTGCGAACAGACAGACAGATACAGCGGACAGACTGTTGATACTTCGCAACTGCTGGGACCCTCGACTTCTTTGAAGGGCTTGTTCTCGATTTTCGCAAAAAATATGGCCAGCCACGAAACTCGTTTGCGAAAGAAATCACGCAGAAGTCATCACAGCTAGTTCGGCGCATTCTCATTGCCATCACGGTCGAAGCTTGCCGCTACATCTCGAGACTCCTTCGCGCTCCGGGCCTTTGAAATTACACACACGTCATGCACGCGTCAGCAGAACACGAGGCGCCCACCTCATCCCGGGGCTTCTTCCGCGGCCGCGAGTCCTTCAGTTTCTGCACGCGGTTGCGCACCGACAGGTCCAGCGACTCGCGCAGAAGCAGGGCTTTTTGTTCCTCCTCGCACAGTTCCTCAAACTGCACCCGGGGGGATCCCCCGGCCGCGACCTCTGCCGGAAGCTCGACTGGCTCGGGCTCGGTTTCCGGCTCCCGGCCGGCGCGTTGGAGGCGCCGGGCTGCCGCGGCGACAAAGACCTTTTGCCAGTCGGTCTCGGTCTGCAGGAAGGGGGACAAGGGTGATCAGTTTGACCCGGCGACTTGGGGTATCCAAGGGCGTAAAACTCCGGTTCGATAGCCTGAGAAAGCCGAAACGTCAGTGACCTGAGCACTCAAGATTATGAATAGTGTCGGCCATCAGTACCTCAGGGCCAAGAGCAGGATCATAGTCTCAGGAGGACATGCGCCCATGGAGGAAAAACTGGTACAGCCTTGCAGACGAAAGTGGATGCCAGCAACACATGAGTTGACAGGCATTCACAAGGGATGCCCGCCGGAGAGCACAGTGATGTGCAGAGAAGCCTGCAACGTCCCAAAATCAAAAGGGCGAATGGCCATATGAGGACGTCCCAGAATCAAAAGAGCAATTGGCCATACGTGAACTTGGGGAAGCCGTGACACTAGTGCTTTCTCGTCAAAGCCAGCTCTGAGAAAGGAAAAGGACGTACAGATAATGGAGAAAGCGAAGAACAATTCACAAGAGTACCCTGCAGATATGGCAAAAGCGAGTATGAAGCTGGTGCGAAACTATCCACAAACACTCTAAGTGGACACTGCAGAAATGTGCCAACATACCGGCTGCACGATATCGTCGTCATCCTCCACCTCCCACTCCTGCCACGTGTCAGCTCCCAGTTGGTCATCGCCGACCCAATCTGGGTCCGCTCCTTCGTTCATGCCCCACTCCAGCGCCTCTTCAGACTCTGCGCTGACCTCACCCGCACCCGCTGCTGGCACGCCGTTGCGGTTCTCGCTGACGTCAGCACCTTCGCCATCGGCCCCGAAGGCCGTGCTGACGTCAGCTTCCGCCCCGGGCCCTTCGCTCGCATCGGCCCTTCTCACCCATGTCTCGCGACTGGGCTCTGAAGCGATTGGGGGATCCCCCGATATCTGCCGTCCGTTAGTTGGGCCTTGAGGAGCGATGTCCTTCAGTGTGCGAACACCGCCATTTCGGGGGTGGCTCAATGCCCGGTCACTCCCCCCCCCTCGTGAACTATCTTCCCGCCCGCCGAACTCACCTTCCTCCGCCCTGACCTCCTTCGGTCTTTCTAGACCGGGTCGATCCGCTTCTTCGACGCTTCTTAAACTCTCTGCCACAGGCCTGACCTCTCTGCCCCTTCCACTGCTTTTGCTCCTAAGTCCGCCTGGCGTCCCTGGTGCAGCCCCTCGTGTGAAAACCTTTTCGGGGGCTGCTGTCTTCGCAAACCCACTGTATGACCCCTCACGGCGCTCCCCGTCTGCATCTGAGCCATAACCCTTCGACAAACTGATCGCCTCTCTTCTTGCCCCGCCTGGCGTCCCCTTCGCCGCCCCTCGTACAAAGACCTTTCTGGGAGCCGCTCTCTCCGCAAACGCACTGTATGACCCCTCAGGGGCTCCTCCATTTGCATCTGAGACGTAACCCTCCCACCCACTGACCGCGCTTCTCCTTCTCCCCATGTCGCCGCCGGCGGACCGAGGCTCGTTCACCGGCTCCTCTTCCTCCCCACTCCCGGTAGCGGCATTCTCCGCAGTCCATTTGGCAAGAAACTCGCTCATCTCCTGGGGGCTCCCGCCCCTCCCCGAGCTGAACTCCTGCCAAGCGGCCCAGGCCCTGTCTTTCGCGGCAGCTCGTTCCGCTTCCCGTTGCTCCCGACCGTCACCCACCCGTTCCGAAACCTCCCTAGAAGTCCCTGTCTCTGTAAATGGACCCTGCCTTTCTGGAGCATCCGCTCTGCCCCGCCGTAGTGCAATCGGCCGGCCCTCAAACCCGCTTCCCAACCCGCTTGCTGACCCGCTCCGATCACTCGCGCTCCATATTCTCGTCGCCGGCTGACCACCTCCTAACCCACTTTCTAACCGGCTCTTCCTCAATGATTCGACTCCATCAGCAGACTGGCCGACTGGATTCAAGACAGTGTCAACCGCCCAAGCCCTGCCATGACCAATCTCCGCACCTTCCAGGTTTCGAGGGATCCCCGCTGCCCCATTCCGACTCGACCCGCGCCGCGAAAGCTCTCCATCGTCCCCCTTTCCTTCTGCGTTTCTTGACCACCCTTGCACCAGCTCAACACCTTCCCCCGACCCACCATCGTTCTCCTTTACCAACGCACCATCCTCCTCTGCAAAGTCCTTTTCCAGCCCCTCAACTCCCCAGCGTTCCCCTTGTCCCCCCTTCCCTAACCCCGTCTCTCTTAACCCGGTCTTTGCAGTGACCGCCTCAAACGGTTCCTCCCCGAATAGCTCGCTGGGGCTCAGTTTCTCGTACGCCAGCCCCCTTCTCCGCAGCGCGGGCTCTTCCGTCAACTGGGACCCCTCCGCAATGAAGCGAACTCCGTTTCTTCCAAGAGTTTGTACACTGGCAGCAGCTGATTTTGCCGAAGCTGCCTGGGAGACCCCTCTGTCCTCGTTGCTCGACCAAACACCCGCAAGTTGGCCGCCTAGCCCAAGAACGTCCTCAGAATCTGATCTTGAGAACGACTTCCCACCTCTTTCTCCGAGAACGCCTTTTGCACCCCTGCCTGTATCCCATTCCGGATCGCCTCCCCTGCTCAGATTGAACTCCTGCCCACTTCCTGCTGCGCCTCCTGAGTACCTCTCCACAACCGGCCTGACCCCCCCAGTTACTGCAGAATCTTCCCCAGTCTCCCGCCCCTCCAGGACCTGCTGATCCCCAACCCCCTCACTATTGCCCGTCTGCGATTGCAATTTGTCCCAGACACCACTTCGCTCTTCCTCCCCTTTCCGCTCACTGACACTGTTCAGCCACTGGGCCCAGGCCCCGGGCACGCGACTGGCTTGAGTATCAGCACTGCGACTCCTCAAAACGCTCTTCTCCGCAGGTTGGGCTATGCCTGTACTTGCTACCGATTGTCCAACAACCCGACTCTGCCTACTCTCACCCTTTGCTGGGCTTCTAGAAGCCCGGGCTTCCTCACTACCTTCCCCTACATTCGGAATCTGCTCATTCCGCCCATCTTCGCCAAAACGCCCAGCATAAGTCAGCTTCTTACTAGGGGGATCGAAGGCCTTTTTGGGGACCCCCCCGCCACCGAGTACAAGTCTCGCTTCCTTGCTCTTGGACGCATTGCGAAGAGCTGCCTCCAGAGTAGAGCGGGAGTCACCTCCTTGCTCCCCGCTTGTGCCCTCTCCATTGCTGCTGGCCACTTCGTTTTTCAATGGAGGTCTTCTCCATTTCTGGCGGTTCACTCCGAAGCCACCCGCCTGTATTCTGCCCACGTCTTTGTCTCTAACATTGTCCCCCGAACCAACCTTCGTAACTTCCGGGCTTTGACCCCGTCCTCTCAAACCGGCAACCCCCTGAGCAGCCCCAGTCACACCACCCCCTTCACTTAGCAGCTCTTCTAAAATATGCAATTCTGGAGGACTTTCTAGCTCAGCCACGGCAGACAATTCGGCTGCGAGTGGTTTTCCCTTTCGCCGGGGTTCAAAAATGTCTTCCAAGACCTCAAGCCCTGGAAGGGCAGCCGGGTCTTCCGGCGAACCTATCAAAGAAGTGCTTGAAAGGTTCGACCTTCTTGGCACTGGTTCTTCTGTCGCCCCGACAGTGATGCCGCTGCATACTTTGACCGTCCTTCTTCCGATGGACCTACAGCGCCACCTCCGCTGAACCAAACCCAACTTTGCCCAACTTTGCGCGGCGCTATTTCTTGCAATGCAGAATGGCGAGCGCCCACTTATCAGAGCCCGGCCACTGCAAGCCGATAAGCTACGGTGCGGCTGTCCAGGAACTTTCCAATTGTGGGCACATGGGGACGCAGTGGCGCACCGCGTGCTTTTGGTGGGCGGCACTTGCAGACGCGGACAGCTGGTCGCCATGGGCGGCTGCCGCACAATGATGAGCATTCAACAAGTATTGATTCTACTGTAACCTAGATACGTCTGCTGTTGCTCTTCTAGAAGTTCTAAGGAGGACCAGGCCCGCCCGACTGCCCTTGCAAGGCCGCTCCATTGGCATTGAAACAGCCGCCACCACCCAGCCGCGCCTGATCGCTAGCAAAAACTTCAATCCCTGACTCTGAGAACTAGAAAGAAGGGAATACGTTTCCACTAATAACAGTTACCACTCTCTACCATACGTTTGGGCCCCCCATCCATTGCCATTTACTTCCGAGTCCCAGTCCAGATTGGCCAAGCTTTCAAACCTTAGTCTCAGATTCAGTTTCAGAGAACTCTGAGAAGTCTTGGCTCCGACGGCGACAGACGACAGACTCGATGCGTGATGCCTCCCCTCGCATGCAGCCCTCAGCGGCATGGTGTTGACACGCTCCGTTTCTGTCCCTTGTAGATTGCCTTCAAAGCTTCGAACCTCTGGGCGTTCTCTGTGCCAGTTTGAATTGACATTGGCGGCCCAGCAAAGACCTGCATTTTGCCAAAGCAGCGGTCGGCGGAAGCAGTCACAGGGGATTCTGGAGCATCTCCAAAGCCGGGCATTCAGCCAGTCAGGGTGAGATCCCAGTGAATTTGGAGTTATTGCCAGGATTTAGTCTGAATATACATCCTGTGAGGGCCTGTTTTTCAAAGGCACACGTATCGAGCAGGATACATGCAGCAGCCTTTGCAATGGCACCGTATATTTGGCAGCAAACCTCCAAGAGGCGAAGGCATATCAGACCCTTTACACCAATCAAAGTGGCACTCATACGGCGGAACTTACTTCTTCCAGTAACCTCTGTAGTACATGCATTAGATCGCTCTGAAAGTAGTCTCCCCAAGAATTTTATACTGACAGGTGCAGTGATCCAATGTGTTGGCCCCATTGATGACTTGTTGCGGATTCCTGGATGAAACCACTTTGATGCGATTCCCCCAAGTAAACCTCATGGGTGGCGCATCGTAGAGCATTGAATCCAAACCGCATTTTCTGGAATGGATTCTTCAGAAGGCAGTCGTTTGGGTCTGCGAGGCCCATTTGCGATCTGCGGCTTGACACCATCGTGTACGCTTGGACATCTCAATGGGCACAACAGTCGCACCGGTGTCAAATGCAAAGGAATAAGACATAACATTCTCAATCGTGCGTCCACAGGACCGGCTTGGTGAAGGAACTTCTTTCGGCCGCCTCTGCTGGCACTGGCGCCATTCGCAATAGCGCAGAGCCAGTGACAAGCGAGAAAGGCCCTGGCAGGGGGCGGCGTTTCCTCCCTGCAGTTCCGGCACCTAGAAAGCACGAGAGTGCACCGGGCGCAATGAGGGTGAGTTCAGTACATACAATCTGGCTCAGTGTCTCAGCTATCTGACAGTGCGTTTGTTGGCTGTAGTGTCGGAATAGTGCGTGCTTTTCTCTTCTTGGGATGGCGGTTTAGCCGCAGTGAGAGTTTCTGAACCCTGCCAATCTAGCATTGATAAGCATTCTATTTGTGGGAAGGCTTTCCATTGGGTTCAGTCCACCACGGGCAAGTGTTCCACTCCGCTTCGTATGGTTTCTCAGGAATGTCTCTGTGTACTGATTATTTCGCATGCATCCCATTCGATCTTTCAATTTCAGTACTCAGAGTTTGTCAAGCAAGTCGTTTGATCCGAGAAACTAAGGGCTTCTGAAGTCTTTTATCAACGTAGTCACAATACCCTTGGAACAAACCGTCCGATACTACGGGAAATTCTGCGCTCTAACAGATGACAAACGCACAAGTCTTCCCAAGTCGCTCTTTGTAAAGCCCAGTCTCACACGAGCTGGTCAACAAGCCTCCAGAAATGTTCGACACCCAACTCAATCAGAAGTTCTTGTTCTCCTTTGTAGGTGTACCTGATCTCGGACATTCACACTGACCATGAGGAAAACTTAGACTGGATCCGGGACCTGTCTCCGACCTCCTTCCTCAACGACGCGCTCATAGTGGCGGGTGACATCAGCGATGACGTCTCCATCTTCGAGGAAACATTCCGCATCCTCCGGCCCAAGTTCGCCCACGTGTTCTTCACCCCGGGGAATCACGACCTCTGGCTTCGCTCAAACAAGGCTCCCGTTTCACAACCCGCTGCAGAATCCGTTGCCAAACCCGAAACTAAAGCCGGTTCCGAGACGAATCCCGAGAACAACTCTACCCCCCGGACTGGCGACGGAGTCGACTTCAAGCCTGAAGGCAACTCTGAAACGGCCTCGGCTAACGCGTCAGAGCCCAGTCCTCGCGACTTATCTCGTACGGTTTCGGACACAGCCCGAGCAACAGAAGCGGTGTCCGGAAGGTCTCCTGAGCCTGCGTCCGGCGCTGTATTGGGAGTAGATGCAAGTGCCCCCCCGGAAAACTCGCTGAGCAAGCTCGCAGTGCTCTTCAAGATCTGTCAGGATCTGGGGATCGACACGCGGCCCAAGTTTCTGAAACCGGAGGAAAAGTCAGGTCAGACCAGAAAGGGCGGCAGTGCTTCAGAGAACTGCGGGGAAGCAAGTAAGGAAAAAGTTCTACAGGAGCCGGCGCTGGGGAGAGGTCCCGTCAATGGCGGAGTAAGCGGGCAGCAGGCAATTGTAAATAGCCAGCGGAAAGAGCCCGGTGGGTGCGGTTCGACTGGACTTTCTGAGCGGGCAGATATTGATGCAGGCATTTCTGCGAGTGTAGATAATCTTAAGAGTGTTGCTAGCACGCATAGTCAGGTCGACGAGCAGGAGCGTAACCCGGAAGCTGGAATCCCGGAGCGGGTAGCAAACTGTGCGGAGCCGGTCGAGGGGAATGTCCGACCGTCTTTGACAGGTAGAAGAGAACCGCAGCGATCCGCTCCAGGGGCCGGATCGAACGGTGCCTGTGCCGAAACCGAGGGGCGAACGACGGAAGCGCGAGTTGCAGAACCGCTGTCGAGCGTCGACGAGCGATTGACGAGTGCCGAGGAGTGGGTAAGCTCCCAAACGGGCGGTTTCGGAGAGGGTGGAATCGGAAGAAGGGAAACCGAGAACGGGATAAGATGGGGGGAAAACCAAACCCGGACGGAAGAGAACGGAGCTCGGGCAGATGCGTGCGGAACTAGGGGGGGCGGAGCCGGAACCAGCGAGGAAAAGAGCAGAAGCAGGGGGGGAGAAAGTGGGACACAAGGGGGAGGGGATGGTCCGGGGGGGTCCGTCTCCAAGGGGAGTTCCGGCCGAGACAGCGGAGTAGCGGAAGAGGAGCACGGGGTGTGGGTGGTGCCGATTCTTTCTTGGCACCATATAAGCTTTGATACCGAGCCCGACATTCCGGGTTACAACATCCCCCCTATTGAAAAGGTAAGGACTGATTCTGCATTTTGACAGCTGGCTTGATCATGGAGCCCGATTACCAACATTTGACGACGAAACCCCGTTGAGCATGATTCTTTTATTGCTATGGTTTGAGAAATTGTTCTTTGGCTTAAGATTATGACAGGTAGTTTACTCGTTAAGTTGTTCCTTTCAACATGTAGGCGAATCTCTAAGGTGGAAAATCTGACACGTGTCCGGACATTTCTGCCTAGATCTGACTTACCGAAATTCGGCCACTATATACCGTAGGGAAAAGAGTCCGCTGCTCTTTGTAGTTTGAGCTTCGCATCATCTATAAGGTACGTCATAGGTTGCAGGCATTTCCCCACGCGAATCTCGCAACGGCCTTTTGTTGCCGATCCGCCTTATCCCTGGGGTATTCGCGTTTGGCTCTCTACTACCCTGCTGATAACAGGTGTGAATATGCTCTTTGCTGCGCGGGTTGTCGAAACTGACCCTCTATCCTCTCTGCAAAACAGCAGAGGGGAAACCTCATTCAAATCCGACGACGTCGGCAAGTTTCCGTGCTGACCTAGCCGTTCTTCTCTTCCGCAGGTAGCGAAAGACCACAAAGTCTGCAAGTGGCCCGCCGGTTGGGACGCCCGGACCGAATCCGTGGCACGCGCGTTCGACGAGATGAACCACGAGCTGCACCGGGGTTTCGACCCGACCTCCAACCCGGGGTGCCACGTCATCACGTTCTCACACTTCCTCCCAAGGTATGCGGTCTCGAAATATCTTCCATTGCTTCTGTACAGATTGTGTTTGAGAAAGCGAAGGACAAGGGCTCTGGGCAAGGGTAAAGAGGGACGGTTTGAAGCGAAGGGGGTTTCGATTTTTGTTGGAATCAGGTCTGGAAGGGAATTCGTTGAGGGCGGTGGCGGAAGTGAGACGAAGATTCTGAACGTTATAAATGAAGGAGTTTGGCTTCACGAATCTACTCGGCGGAGTCTCCTGGCTAAAAAGGCTAAGCCTGTTACAACGGTCCCCGATTTGACCCGTGTAGTCTTGCGCGCTCTGAGCCCTAAAGGTTCTTCCGTCTTCCGCAGGTTGGAGCTGATTCCCGAGAAGCGCTTCCTCTTCTACCCCAACCTCGCAAAGGCCGTTGGGTCGCACGCGCTCGAGGCGCGCGTGCGAGCCATCCACGCGGCGGGCGCTCCGGGTTGCCACTTATTTGGGCATACGCATTTCAGCTGGGACATGACGCTCGACGGAGTCAGGTGCGGATAGCTCAGGATTCTGTCCGAGCGGGATCTTGTTGAGTTGGTAACCCTTGGGCCATCAGTGGGGACCTTGTCGATCTTTGTTGCGTGGCAAGGTTTGCCTTTCGGAGGTTGGAACTTTTGTGGTCAGTTTCGCTGTGGTCAGACAATGCCCAAAGCAGGATTATGTCGCTGTATCTCGTCGTCTTATCGATGTTGACAGAACCCTCAGTCTCCATTTTGCAAAATCAATCTTCTCTTCGACCCCGCACTCTTCGACACCGAACGCGTAAATGACGTTCTTGCCACCACTTAGCTTGCTTCAGGCCGCGATGTGTTCCGACGGACTTCCTCAAATGATTCTTTACCCTAAAAGATACCTGAAATTCACTCTTCTGGGAAACAGCACGGAAACGCAGGCGAGATGGGCCCCCTCAGTCGGAGATACTGCCTTTTGTAGTCCCACCTAATACAGTCGCCGTCACCGTTGCAATGACGTCATCGCCCTCCCCCAGCAGGTATATCCAGGCCCCGCTCGCGTACCCCCGGGAGCGCAAGCGGCGCATGAACGGGGGCGACGACTGGCTGCCGCTGTGCGTGTACGACTCCAGCCGGGGGGGGGTGCTGACGTCAGAGAACCGGTGTGACTGGTCGGACTACTACAAGACGCACGCTCGCGACCCAGACAATTTCGAATTCGCTCCCTGGGTGGCGAACCTGTGGAGGCCCATCCGGAAGAAACCGGAGTCAGCGGGAGAGACTTGAAGGAGGGGGGTCCGATGATGTCAGAGCTCCGGCGTCAGCATGACGTCGATTAATTCAGACTGCAAAGTTCAAGCACCGAATTCGTGAAGTAATCACTGGGGCGGATTCTGCATCCTGGTCGATCTTGGCCGATCCACCGGGCATGTGCCAGCGTCGCCTCTGTAAAATAGTGCAGAAAAGATCGGCTAGTTTGAGAGTGTAAGATAGGGGTTGGTAGGCTCAGCCGGGCAGTGTAGAGCGAAAATACCCGCAAGAGCTTCTGTGTTGCGTTGACTGCATAGGGCACGCGTTTTGAGTCTGCCGCGCAGGTTGCGAGTCTATTGTAGGATTCATTTCGTGGCGAGCAAGGGCATACGTAAAGGCCGTCGGATTGCTGGACCACAGCGTGTTGAACATCATTCCACCCACTCTGGGAGAGACACGTCGAAATTTTGGATCGCTTGTTGAGAGACAAGCGGTACGTGCCATCTTGACTACTTGAAACCGACTGTTTTGACAAGACAGAGAATCCGATTGAGAGATGCACTGCTGCCCGGCCTCGTAAAGTTAGCCGTCTCCAATCTTGCATACCTTCAACCCATCGGCGGATGATGAAAATGATGGGGACTCGGCATGTGCACACCTTACGTACGCCAGTATTTCATGCACACGGTTGCGAAAAAACCGATGCAATTACCTGCATGCAGATCATGATCTATGCATAGTATGTTAGCAGGCTAGCATAACAGGCCTGAGCTAGCGTTCATATAAAGATCACTTGCATTGTCAATGAGTCTCGTCACTGAGCCCACCCGCTCCCTACGGCAGGCCTTTTAAAGATGAGTCATAATGCTAATTGCATGCCCTCATTTCGAACGGACGGATTTCAAAACGGTGGGCCGTGATGAACGTAGTGATCTGCATACTGACTCAGCGCAGCGTCAATCCAAAAACGGTGGAGCCCATACACAAGGACATATATCCTGCACTCTTCGTGTAGACGAGCTGCAGTACCGCAGGATTGAGAATTCTAAAATGGTTGATGTTCCAACTCTTTAAACTTGTGTATACGATCGGACGTACCGGTATCGACCATCATTGACCCACGACTCAAATGCAGACACTTTCTCAAAGCAGTCAAGGCAACATAAGTACTATTATCCGTTGACCAATGGATTGGCTGCACTATAGAAGCCGAATACCAAAGCTTTCCCCCTTTGTGGCTTTCAGCACGTCAATGCTCGTTCATTGCGTCCCACCTGGAGGACTTAGGTCAGCGCAAGTCCGGGAGTTAATGCTGACTTTCGCAGTGACAACAGCGGCTGGCCGCATCGCCTCAGGCAAATGATGGATCAGCGCACTGTGGTCCCACCAAAAGTTGCCGTCCAGTGAATCGATGTTGCGGCCCACTGCATGACGCAGCAAGCACAGAATATCAGCAGTAGTTCGGCCAGTGGGCGTAATGAAAATGGTGCTCGTGCAGAAAACTACGGAGGAACTGGCAAGCTTGGAAGCAGACGAGCAGCGCTAGCTTGTTCCAGGAAGTGAGGCCCACCAAAAGGCCAATTCAGATTGTCTTTTCCCCTTGCCTGCAGATCGAAGCACGACTCGAAAGGAGAGCAAGCAGATCAGTTTGCAGAACTTACGCATGTCACGCAAGTACGATTCCCTTCCGAGGCCTTTGGTGCAGAAATTGTGGATTGAAATCAAAGTCGGCTGGCTTCTGGAAGGGTTTCCTTTGCAGTGAACTACCTTGATAGATTGAATATGTTGGGTCAGGAGTCGAGAAACATCTCACACGTGTTTGCCTGGCACAGCGCGCATTCGTGGACGTTGATCTCTCTGATGGTCTTCCAGTGCTGGTCGATTGACTTTTGAAGTGCTTCTGCTTCTGCCCCGGACGCGAGACACTGTCGAGAGACAAGAGTTGCGAGATTGTCTGTGACCACCTGCCTCAGAAACCTACTCCGCTTGTAGGCAGCAAAAAACTCCGGGGTATTTCTGCGCTCCTGCAAACGAGCGGAACCGGAAATTGTCTAATGCCTCAACTGCTGGCACGTCTTGCTTGACTCAACTGCTGGCGCGTCTTGCAAGTCTTTCCAGGGCGATGTCAGCCGTGCTTAAGGCGGAAGACAAAGCTGGTCCTCCGTCATCTATACGTATACTCGTGTCAGAGGTTGAATCATGAGAAGAACGGTCAAGCCAAGTTTCCCATTACTCCCGTTCAACTTCTCATGCAGCAGAAGCGACAAACAAAAGAGGACCGGTAGAGGGCATCCAAGCCTGTACTCACGAGGCAGTCTGCTTAAGGGTGCTGAAGTTGAAGTGCTTAGGCTTTTACCTCAAGTGGGCACTTCGACAAGTCCGAAGGCTGTACTCCTAGCAACGGCTGGCACTCGCCCTTTTCATAGTTGGCGCTCAGCCAACTGCTCAGCCAACCTAACACGTCTGCTTTCATGCCACCTTTCAGCTTTCCAGATAGGTCAGGGGGTTTAAAAACCAAACCTGAAGACGGTGAAGAAGCTCTTCAATAGCTGGTAGAATATCGACTCGGAGTGAGTTTAGAATAAAGCGTCATTCGCTCAAATGTAATGAAAGATGCCAGTCTGGACAAAGAGGTCTCGTTCCGCTGAGGTAGAGAACATCGTGTACGTCTTCTTATGTCTGACGTAAGTCCTCTTGCAAATAACCAACCCGGTATTCAAGGACCGGAAGAGTGCAATACAGGGTTGAACAAAAACGTTATCGAATGCAAATCTCAAAACTTTTGCCATGAAGTTGGATGAAGACTGTTGCAAGGGATCAAAATTGAATATTTCTGCGTCCCTGGCCCTCTCCACTATGTGACAACACGCCCTGAGTTATGCAAGGAGATAGGATCACCCACCTCATGTATTAATGATCAGCGACAGCGGGCCGAGAAACTAAGAGTGGACAAAAACTCGAAAGTCCTTCTCAGTTTCAGACTGAACCTGCGAGATTCGACGCGGCTGACGGCTTTGCAACTCTTCAAACTTAGCTAGTCAGTCGCTTGGGTGCAACCCGACGGAGGAGGCGGGAGTGCCCCGCGGCCGCGCTTGCGCATCCGAGCGTCACTTGGCCGTCGGAACGTTTCAACCCCGCACCAAGTGTCGCGCGCGGCGGCCACGGCGGCAGCCGCCGCGCGTGCTTTCGTCGGGGCCGGTGCCGCGCGCGTGCGTGCGTGCGCGCGTACTAGGCACGCGATCGGGACGTACTGTATCTGGCCCAAGCGTACGAGGTGCGGCCGCGTTGGCCTAACGCCCGCCTCACGAGAGCTCTAAGTGTAAGTTTGCCATGCAGTGCAGCATCTCAACGCTTGGTCAAGGTGCATGTGCCTTTTCGTATGTTTGTACAATATGGAGATCGTTTTGATTAGTCCGACAGACATACACGCAGATCCCATCACGGATAAGCGTCTAACACGCCCGGCCGATCACTTCAAAAAGCAGCTCGACAATTCTGCAGGCGTGATCCGCGACCGACGGTTCAACCGCAGCGTCGTTGGGAATGATTATTGGACTCCTTCAATCATTCGGCTATGATCATCGACTTAGTACCGTCAGTGCATTGCGGTTGCATCACATCCATATTCATAACGCACTCAAAGGCCGCCCTTCTGCATCAACGAGTTTTGTACTGAGAATGTTTGTTTTAAGACCTCAAAGTATTACTAGCTGAGTTGGATGACATAGAGGTGAGTTGCGGGTCTCGTTCACATGACTAGAGTGCCCTGAGCGGTTGGGGAATTATAAGCCAGCTACACGCATTTGAACGGTTGCAATGCTTTGAGTGACTTTGACATGGTTCGCTACTAGCACGCGTTGAGCGGTTTCTCCGGTCCCAGCTTATATCAGTGGAATATGTCATTATATCAGTGAAACATGTCAATAGGAGGTCTTGCAACGAAGCCCCCACAGTTCAGTGTCTTGAAGCGAGCTTGGGTATCAGTGTGGCTGCCAAAATGTGTTTCCTAGACATCTTGCGAGTTGTCGAAGTAACAGCCTCAGGATTAGTATTTCAATTGGCCGCCTTGAAATGCGGCAGCGCGAGGGCGACCGCCGTGACTGTGTTCGTGTACTTCTGAACCGCCCTCGGGACGGCCGCGCAGTACCCGGCAATCTTGAGCGGCAGATTGTTGTACGCGGCTAGCACCTCCTGCGGCTTGCTCAGCGTCGACAACTGCAAAGTAAGCGAGGTCGGGCGTTCAGCGCTTGATTGGAAGGTTCCTCCGATACGCAGGCTGCTTAGCAAAAGGCTGAGATCTGATGCCCCCCACGAAATGGGGATTCTGCTCTCGTTGCAACAGAAGGACGTAGCAAAGATCTGCGCCCTCGCTCGTTCCGCTCGAGTTCCTTCTGTCAACATTCTGACGCGAATGCAAATGCACGAAGTGATTGCGATTGATCAGAACAAAGAAGCAGATCAGAAGCAAAGATCAGAAGCAGATCAGAACAAAGAATAGGGCCGGACGATGTTCGAAGAACAGACGCGTTCCTTTCCCATTTCCTGTCCGATCGTTCAAAACCACCGGACTCACGTTCTCGAAGCTGCGCACGACGTCCCGCACGCCCAACTTGGCCTCCCGCATCAGCTCCTGCGAAGCGGCCCTAATTCGCTGCATCGCCGCCCATTGCTTCGCGACCGTCGGCGCTTTCGCCGTGTCGCCTTGCGTCGACTCCGTCAGCAGATCAGAGAGCGCCGCGTGGAGGCCCTGCCGGAGCTTCCCGGCCTCCGAGCCGTCGATCTCCGCCTTCTTTGTGATGACGGCGAGCGCGTCGGCGAGGCCCGCGGCGCTCGCGGCCGCGACCGTCTCGTCCGCGCTCGCGCGTTCGCCCGCGTCCGGCGCCGCCGGCGCGCGAGCGGCCGCGCCGAAGGTGCTCGCGAGGAGTGCCTCCCAGTCTTCCCCGGCTATCATGGGCAGCCAACTGAGCTCCATGTTGTTTACCGTCAGCAGGTTTTGGAGGTAGTTGTAGGCCTGGGGCGAGGGCGCCTTCTGGAGCTCCTGGAAGCGGAAACGACGAGAGGTTCGATAAGTGTCGCCCAATGCTTCTATCCTCTTCAAAAACGACCGTCTCTCGGTTACGCTTTAAACACTTATGTCGGGTGATGTTCCTTGTGTGCCTTTCAGTGTCGCTAGAAGGCGTCTGAACCCCATGCATTTCCCAAATCAAGAAGCCAGATCAACAATGCATAAGAATTTCGGGACCGACAAAGGATCAACAGAAGGACGAGAAAGAAGGCCGCTAATTGGGGTCGCTCTTCTGCTGACTCTTCTCTGCTTCCATGAAAAAAGCCGGGACCAGTGCCTTCATGAGGGGCGTTGACGTTACTTTGCTCTCCCTACCGTACACGTGTCGCCCCCTCACCTTGTCCATCATGGTGAACGCCGCGCGGCACATGCCCTCTAGCTCCGCCATTTTAAAAAGGAACGCGACCCACTTGCGCACCAAGACGGGGGTGAAATTGGCGGCAAAAGCATCCCCCTCCGGAGGGGGCGGCAGGTCGATCCAGCGGAGCCTGCCGATCTCGTACAGCGCGAGCATGGAGTGCACTTCGGACGCGGCCTGATGTCCGACTTCATAGTACGCCTGAGGAGCCGAACCGTCCGTTTCAGAATACAAATGGCAGAAAATCTTCAAGCTTTGACAGGTTGGCGTCGATCTTGATCCTCCCTTCCTGTACTGAAAAGTGCTCTCAAACAGTGATCTTAGTGAAGGAATCAAACACTGACTTTTGAGCCTCTTTCGAATAGCACTTTGGCAGCAGTTGGGGCTAGCTTCGGATGATGGACTGCTTCTCCAAGAAGAGATGTTCCTTAAGACCGGGCGAAGAAATGTTTGACTGCTCGCGCGCCAGATTCCTTCCCATGGTGGACGGAGCGCTTGGTCCCTGGAACTCCTGTCCGTTCTTATTTCCAATGTTTCCCGAAGAACGGCGCCATCTCTCAAATGCATGCCAAACTTCCTTTCGAACAGGGGGACAATGGCTTTTTCTCGCTCTCAGAGGCTGATTTTTGGAGGCTTCCAGCTTTGCATACGTTCATGACGTCATGAATTGGGCGCAGAGCGACGTCACCCGCCCACCTCGGTGGCGTCGAACCCGCAGTAGCCCTCGGTCAGGAGCGGCCCCCCGGGGTGCAGGTTCCGGAACTCGCTGACGTCAAGCACACGTGCCTCGATGGCCATCCACCAGCCGTCCACGTCATTATTGCGCAAGCACAGCTCGCTCGGCCAGAAGGTACGCCCCTCCGCCGCGCGGTCCGCGGCCGCGTGCGACGTGAAAACTTCCAGGCAGAGGCGGCGCTGGGCAACCAGGCGGGACAGAATCTGCAATAAAGGGATGAAAGAATGCGACTTTCTGCTTTCGGGGCTTCTGGCTCACGGCGAACAATTTGTCACACGACTTTGCATATTAAGGAGAAATAACAAGGGATTACTGCATTCCCAAAGCAGTCATATGGCCGCTGATCATATGCAGATAAAAGTGAGCTGGACGCCAACAGTCAGAAACGTCAGCCACGAGGAGTAGCACGCAAGCAAAAGCTTATGCGTCAGAAGGCAAACAATAACTTCAGCTTTCGAACAATGGCCGGTGCTCGAACCATACTGCTCAAACATTTACAACGAGAGCGGCTTTAGAATACAATTCACAAAGCGCCGCCTCCCGCCGAAAGCAACTAGAGCGGGCTGCTCACGCTCTCGGGATGGGGGTCCAGCGACCCGGGGATGTCGATGTGGAAGCGTTTGATGAGATTCTTGAGCGCCGTCATGATCGTCTTAGTGAAACCAGCCTGGCCGCACACGTACAGCGTTCCGCCCAACCCCGACTTTTCCGCCGGAAGCAGGATCCGGTATAGCAGCGCGGCGTCCCACTCGCTCTCCATGAGTGCGTCGATGCGCCGGCGCTTGCCGGGCTTCAGGACGAACCTGAGAAGCGTTGAAGGAACGAAACATTTGTTGAAAGCCGCCATAAAGCTCACAAATGATGCAGAAAAGCAAGGTACATATAGAATATGGCCAAGACGGAAAGATTCGACGGCGTTCCTGGCCGGCACCCGAGAGTTTCCAAAGTAAAAGAATCCATCCACAATCAAAAAGGATTTTACGCAACGACCCGGAAATCATGTTCAGAGTAAAATCACCCTCCCTGCTTCCTCTCATCTCTTCCGCATGGAGTTACGGCAGCTGTCGTGTCGAAGCTCAACTGTTTTTATTGCTTACAGCTCCAAGTTTTCTATTACCTCACTTACTTCCTCTCCGTTTCCGCTCTCGTGTTGAAAGTACTGCATCGACTTAGAAAGCTTAGAAGAGCCTGAACGCACTCACTTTCCGACCGTCTTGTCGAACACCATGTCGTTGTCCTGCCGCGACAGCGCGACGCGCACCGTCAGCTTCCCCTCGCGCTGCAGCTGCTCCATCTCTTCCCGCAGTAACATCTGCGACTCGCTTTGAACGCTTAGGTACAAAAGCACCATGGCGCGTTTTGGGCGCGCAGCGAGCGCCTGCCAAAAGCCGCGGAACGGCGCGATGCCTGCAGCGGAAACGGAATCGATGTTATGCCGAAAAAGTCGCGCGAGTGGCCAGGTTTCAGAAATTCCTGAAGACTCATCAGTGACGCGCTTTGCGCGCTCGGAGAGCGCCTGCCCAGCGCGCAGAAAGTCGCGATGCCCACGACGAAAACGGAATTGCTCATTTGCCAAGAAACCTGCGCAAAGTGGCCGAGTAGCTGAAAACAAAAAGAGGAATTGGAGGTAACCGAGATTGAGAGCGAGCTGCCGGAGATCTCAGAACGGCTGGGAGTCGCGCCTACTGAGTAAGTCTGTGAGCGCAGGGCATGAATCGTCTGAACTCACTGAGCAGGCCCGCTGACTCATGCATGGCGGGGAAAGATTCGAAGACGCTGTTACTGAAATTGAAGGATAAAATCCTCTATCTACCTACTTGAACATTTGAGGATCACTATCCACGTCACGGCAGCCAGGCTTTCTTACTTCGCATGACGACGACAAGTAATCGACTAGACCTGGCCTGGCGGAACATGGCCCTTCATTCAATGTAGAGTTGGAGACAAGGTGTATATGACCTCCCTCTCCTATAAAGTAAGTTTTGGAGCTTTACCAGGTGCTGGGACGGTTGAGACTTCCGAAGGAAGAGAACAAAGCGAACCCGCAAGCTGCAGGACAGGCCAGAGGAAAGAAAGCGGGAATTGGCTCAGAACGCGAATGCAAAAGTCTGACAGGGTACTCTGAGGGGTACTTTTAAATGCCGTCTAATACCATATCAAAGTAGATTCCGAGCTGAAGCACCCACCAGTTCCGCCGGCAAACATGACAAGTGGGGTGGCGGGGTTTTCCGGGAGGCAGAACCGGGGCGGCGACACCACGCTGACCTGCACGGGGTGCTTCTCGGTCCGACTGTCGCCCTTTTCGGTGCCATCATCCTCGTCTTCGTCCCTGCACGTTGCGACGGATCACCATATTTTCAGTGTTACGTCGTTGTTGGTCTGATTGTTGAAGTTTAGCGGCGATGACGAAATAAGTGTGTCAGGGAGGGTTGTTAGAAATGACGTACTACGTCTTCTTCAGGCAGACAGAGGGGGAGATTTTGACGAGTGGGTTTGTCAGAGATTCCTCTTCTCGCCTTGCACCGTCCGGCGGGGATGCAGTAATGGCAAGCCGTTCTCTTCCCGTGCTGCACGGTCCAGCTACGAAGCAAACAGCGTGCTTTGCCCCTAATATCCATTACTTGCCAGATATGCGGAGATCGTCTTAGGTCTTTCGAGAAGAGCCCAGACCAAACCTCTTCTACCGACGTGAATTTGGTTGAGTCAGTTCTAAGCCTGTGGGGGACGTTCTTGTGTGCAACCTGAAGCTAAGTCAGCGCAGGATCGAATTGCGTGTTGCAGTCCTTATTACTTTTCGGCCTCGATTGAAGCAAAGCCTAACCAGAGCGAAGTTCCCGGAGATGTGACTGGATGCTCAAGATTCTTGACTTCTGGGCTCCTCACCCCAGCCACATGAACGCCATGGACTCCGCAAACTCGTCGATGCTGACGCTTCCGTTCTGGTCCGCGTCCGCCCGCCGGAACAGCTCCACGGCGGAATCCTTGGAGAAGCCCAGGCCTTCCAGCCCGTACGCAACCTCCGGCAGGCTCAGATGGCCGTCTTCGTCGGTGTCGAGCTTGCGGAATATCTCCGCCCCCTGAGAAGTAATAAGATAGATTATCGACGCAACGTCAATGAGTCCAGCCAATGTTGAGGAGCGGAGCTAGGGCGGTTGTTAGGGAATGTAGGGTGGGTGCGAGTGGGAAGAACGTGAGACTTTGGTTTGGGTTGCGTTTTCAGTTGAGTCGAGGGCTTATTGTTCACTGAAGTGGTTATACAAGTCAAAGTGCAACGGTTTCAAGTTCGATTTCAGTTCGAATAGAAATCGAAGCTCAAGCAAGGATAAAAGCAGGCTCGGTGCGTGTACCGACTGCAAAACGGAACAATATTGAAGGGCGAAACGCTACGGTATGGGTCCCTTCCTTGTCTACGATTGCACAAGGACCCAGAGTTCCGTGGTTGCCTAGAAAAATCACCATCATTTATCACAATCGCGTGTATAGTCGATTGTATCCGGTTATAGATCCGCTTTGACTGCTTTTTCTCAGATGTCGGGTAGAGGCTAGGTTTGTATTGTTACCAGGGCCCTCCGGGTGATCGTCTGACTGTGCAGGAACGTGGAGGCGACCCCGCGGCGCTCGATGACCGCGGCCTCGTCGCTCAAAAGGGGAAGAGTGAGCTTGGTGCTGTTCTTGGTGGTGTATCTGAGGCACAAAACCGAGTGAACGGAGGGTCTGTCGTAGCTTGCATTTCGAAACGGTGTTGACGTATTAACAGGGGCCATGCTCAGGTGGGTTCCTTTTCGCAGGCTCAATTCCCAAGGGTCGAGGATCCAAAGTGCACACGTCCCCAACTCCCACCTCATTTCTCAGAATCGCAGGAAGAGAATGCATTCTTGTTGAAAGCGTATTAGCGTGATAAATCAACCTGCGTATCAAGAGCACCTGTCCGATGGAGGTGCTGAAAATTGAAGAATGTGACGGTGGAAGCGACCCGACTGAGAAACTTGTCACGACTGACTGACTACAAGAACAATCAGGTGAATGTCGTTCCCGGCTACAAGTAGACCAATAGATTAGGCTCTCCCCTTAGGCCCAACAAACCACACAATCAGATTTAGAGATTGTGCTTCATCTTTCTGAGGGGATGAATATGGGTCAGGAGTGCTCACTTCCAAGCCCCCACCAGGATAGAGATTTGCTTCGCTGGTTTGCCCTCCTCCTCCGGGGCACAAGCGATGGAGTACTGGCGTGGAGAGTCGGGGGCCAATACTTTGCAGAGCGCGAAGGGGCTGTCCGGGTCTGCTGTCAGCATGTCTGCCTTGGCAACCGCGTCAAACCCGGGGTTGAACAGCTCCGCAACAATAAGGAGGTCCCAAAATTCAAGCTGGGCCTGCAAAAACGAGGAGACTGCTTTCGTCAGCGCTTACGGCTGCCTCTGAGAGCAGGTTCCTGAGTCGGGTAGAATCTGCACATTGCTTCCGTTCGGCAAGGCGTGAAGAGGGCTTCCCGTGGACAATCCGCTTCCATATTTGCAAATTGGACGAAAAGCGACTCAGCACGTAGGAAGCAGTCTAAGTCGAACTCTTGGAATGTAACTCACGTGCGACAGTGGTGAAGATAGACAAGTCTGCAACTTGACCCATCCCGGCAACCATAGACCTGAGTGGATTGTCGGTTGCTTTCTAGATTGGATAATTAGTGAAAAGTCCTCAACGCAGACATGAGACATGATCCTTTCAAGAGTGGCGCCGTTTCTGAAACGGCTCTATTATCTGGTGTTCGAACAGAAGGGACAGATTGGCTGAACCTACGTATGCAATAAAAAGAGTGTTCGAGAAGTGAGTTAAGCTACTTTCCTCAAGGTGTCGATCCACCAGTGTCTGCAGTGTAGCCGAAGGAGCGATCTCCAGCAAGGCGCGCGCAGTCCTGAGGGAGACCGGGCGGAACTGCGGAACAGCGGTCAAGATGAGATCCACTTCCGAGACGAATGATCCACTGGAACTAAGGTGAGATAAGAGCGCTGGCAAATCAAGCACTCTCAGCTTTGCAGAACGAGCTTGGCGGAAGGCAGTTTCAACCTAGACAAGAGCAAGGGTTGATCGAGAAGGATTGGTTGATCGGGCAGATTTGGGAGTAGTTGCAAACTTTACAAACCAGCTCCTATATACCTCAAAATCTCTACGGACGCTCAAGGTCCGCGAAAATCACCACTCTGTCTCGGAGTTTGCGGCTTACCTGCGCTCGCTCCAGAAACTCGTAGAGCGGTACTTTTTCCAGGACTTCCCTGCTGCGGTACTTGCCGAACCCCGCGAGCGCGCGCCGCCACGTGGCGTCCAGGGGAACCATGTCCTCGGCCGAGGCCCCGAGCGAGTTGATCGTCAGCGTGACAATGCGGTGCTCGTTTTTGGGCAGGACCATCAGACGGTCTCCCGCCTGACAAAAAAAAGCTTTAGGGTTTCTACTTCAGAACTTTGACAGCGAGAACATACAACGGGTACTCTGAAGCTTCAATGACATTTCAGGACTTATGTCGAGCTTGATTTTGTCTACAACCACATTAGGAGATTCACTAATTGGACGTTCTTCACTCTACCAGTGCTCCATGGCCTGTCCCTATAAGTTTGAGACGAGCGGATTTGGAATGAAGGTAGCATACAAAAGGGAAGCAGAACGGAACGCGGGGCTGACGAGAAGAGGGAAAGTAGAGTCGGGACTTCGTCCCAAGATGATGCGAACTGAAGGACAGAAACGTAGTTGCTGCGAAGATGAAAAGCGGAAAAGCTGTTCAAAGATGCGAAGGCTACGCAGCCCGCTCTGTTAAGTGCATTTCAAGGTGGCGAAGCGAACAGTCTGACCACAAAGGTTCTATTCTTGTCAGCTCGGCTGTTTAGATACTTGAAAGCACAATATCTATCTTGAATAGTGGGCAGGCAGAAGAAGGAGATTGAAATTCAGGCCTGTAGCGCACCCGAAACACCTGCCCGCTCCCGCTGATGTCGAAGTGAATCAGCTTCCCGCTCTTTGGCGTCTCGTCGTTCTCGTCACTGGCGTGGATGTATGCCACCGCTTTCGACACGTCGGACGGGTACTCCGTGATGCGCTCCTGCCGCGTCTTCTCCAGCTCGACTGCAAATAGTATAGGTGGTTGTGGAACGGAACGGTGATCTTACTTGGAACACTTTGAGGATTGAGCTTGTAGACCTCGTCAGTTACCTTTCTCGTATTTCGACAGAAGTGCAAGTGGGTGGAAGAGCAGATGGATTGCAATATTGGCTGAACCAACATTTCCGGAGCGGCTTTGCGGGAAGGAGCAATTCGAGATAAGCGAAGTGCTTTATCAGTGAAAGACGCCTCTTACCCGGATTGTCGAAAGAGCGCTCGGGTGAGATTCGCTGATCAGAGCGAAGCTCGTGAAGATAGGAAATCTTGCCCTGATACACTCTTTGCCGAAAGAGTGCATCCCACTCTCCCGCGCATGAGCCTCCAGAAGCATAAGATTCTCAATATTCGATACCTTCAAGAAGTCTGCTCACCCAGGGCGTGGGACCACACCCTGGAGTGCGCTTGGCCTCCGGTAGTCTGACCCCGCAGGCCGCACCGGAACGTGTTATTGAGGAATCCGTACATCTTCAGCATATGCCGGCCGAAGAAGCCCTCCTTCCCAGCGTAGAGCATGAGCGCCTGCAAGACCAAGTGCACGTGTCCACTGGCGCGGTAATACATGCGAAACATTGGGGCGCGTGTCCCAACGACTGAAAAATGTTTATTCGAACTTCAGGACTTCCGCTGCGGGCTAAGAGCATCGACCCATTATCGCTTGACAGTTTCCCCGCTCGAAACTCAAGAGCCTGACGTCCAAATCTTCGCACCTTTTCGTCCCAAAATAGGTCAATACTTGCCCTACGAGTCTGGACCGGAAGCTGAGAACATCTCTCAGCATCTGCAAGTCTTGTCAGACGGAACATGCCTTAGCGGATTTGAACAGGTTGTCGTTTGCATCTTCATTATTCTCTAGCTAACCCAGCAAATACTGCGAGAACAGTATTCTCGGCTTCGGAGAGCTCACCCGCGCAAACAGCCCCTTCAGCTCATTGTCGCCAGACGCCCTGACGTAGCCCGGCAGGCTGACCTCGCCTAGCGCGGAGAAGAAGGCGACCCAATGCGGCGGGCACACAGTCAGCAGCTCCTTCTGTATGGCGCTCACTTCGTGCTTGAAGTTGCGGCGCTCGAAGAGAACGTCCAGAACCTGGGGCACCGGGGTGCCGCCGCCGATCACACCTGAGGTGAACACGGCATTTTAAATGATTGGTGCGAGCATTGTACGTGAATGGGCCGACAGCTGGCTGAAGGCCTGTTTCGCTGCGGCTCAAATTGAAGAACGAGTGTCCAATCAAGAAAGCCTATACTGGCGGAAGGGGGAAAATCGTCGAACATTGAGCAGCCTCGCAAGGATCGGCTCTTTCAGACGGAGTACGACTCAACCAGCCTTTCGGAGCGCTACGGAAAGCACCTTTCAAACTGCTTCAAAGCATCGCATTCATCTGATCGAGCAACTTTCACACCCCTGATGTCATTGCGTAGACAAGCCATCAACCTCGTAGAAGCGAAGCAAAGTACAAAACGGCATGAGAGTCACAACTCGAACGCGCGTACCCGCAACTGGAAAGCGCCGGTCGATGACCCCGTTGCCCATGGGCGCCCACTCGATCGGGTCCGAGAAGCTGTCCGACTCGGGCAGTGCGGACAGTTCGTCAAACGCGTTGGTCATCGCCAAAACGGCGTCGCCCAACCCCACAAGCGCCTTCTTGAGCGCGGGAGGGTCGTCGCGCAGAATTGCGTCCTGGATGTCGCAGCAGAAGCGGACCATCGGGGTGCTGCTGGAGATCGTGTACAGCTGCACAAAGGGGAACGGAGAGAAATGTACATAGGGACTGTTGTGTGAGGACCTTTATAGGGGCTTCCCCAAACTTAGATCCCTACTGCTGCTTCTGCGAAATTGCAGAAAGTGGAAAAGGTGGTTGATTCGATATAAGCGTAAAGACATACCACCCCAGCTTTATGGGCCCTTGTTGGAGCTTTTGCGAGCTTCACTAGAGTCTACCACACTTGACAGCTCCTTTGACATGCACGCAAACTTTCTAAAAGACGTCCGCTGAGCCAGACCGGATGAAAGCATGTTCTGTGAAAGTTGCTGGGTGCAAGGGACTGCCGAACTTTGTTGAATATTAGTGCTAGACATCGAGCCTTTGTTTGTCTTTATATCCCTTGTACAAGTACAAACTTGAAAGCGTCAGTTCTCTGGGCAGTAGAAATCATGTGAAAGTGCCTTCCTAATCGAAAGAACTATCTTTGACTCCTCAGAAAAGACGCAACAGGCTGAGTACATGCAAAACCTGATCAGGTCATACTTCCTGCCGTCACTCACCATGGTCATGAAAAAGATCTCTTCGCACCTGGCGCCTGAGATTGACACGCTCCGGATCAGCTTGTGGACTACCAGCTTCTCTGGATCGTATTCTCCGCCCCCCGGGGACTTCCCTTCGGGCACAGGCTGCTCCCAGTTGTACAGCGAGTTGTCAAAGTATGTGAGCTGGGTCCTGCGCTGCAGCTTTCTACAGAGGACCCCCCAAGGAATGTCGATTGCTGGCGGGAGGTAGCCCCCGCAGTGCTTCACGCCGTTGTTGTAGTACGACATGGCGGCAACGCCGAGGACCAGCACTGGAAGGTTGGGGAGAAGGCCATCAAGAATCAAAGGATGTATTTGAAGTTCACTGGCAGTCGTCGTTGTAGGAATTGTGAGGCCCTGATCAGGTTTGCGGGAAGAGGTCTGGCTGCAAACTAATGCTGAGGTCCAGTGCTGAAGGGAAAAGTTGGTGTGGATGAGAAAGGTGGATCAGGTTTAAACTGTGTATATGCCTGCTGACAGTCTTGGCATTCCTCTTGACGCCGTGTCCTTCAGAACCACAAAGGAGTTGAGATCAGGAGCCCTTCTGCGTTCTTGAACCAACGGAAGCAGCCAAAGGTGCAACAAGGAAAATGAAACTCTGGAGGGACAGCTGCAAAGGTTGAGAAGACAAGAAGACACCTGAGGCCCAACATGTATTAGAGCAGCTTCAAATTGTTGGAGTTCACGGTATCTGAAAACAAGGACAACATAGGAGGAAGCTCGTTGACAGCACTTTTGAGGAGGGAAGCTCCTGCTGCACTCACCTGCCCGGTGCACATACTCATCCGGAAGCTTCTCAGCGTTTAGAACCGGCATCGCATCCATGAAAGCCCGGGCGCCCATCTTGGCATGGAGCTCCGGTAACTTTGTGACAAGCTCATCCCACTGTTTGAACTTGGGGGGCAGGCTTGTGAGCGGCTCGCGCTTGGGCATGAACCCATGGCTCAATGACAGGGCCCCCAGGTACTCGTGACCATTCTTGGCGTTTGTTTCTTCCGCCGCTAGTACCGTCTGACGGGCGGGGGAGATGATGTCAGCAGGGGCAGCCGCGGCTGGGGGGTGTGGAGTGGGGGGCATTGTTGATGGAGGTTTGGGGCCTGGGGGTTCCGGATTGTGCACCAACTCGAGCGATCTGAGACGTTGAGGCCGGACAGCTTAAGAGATGCTTCGAGGGTTTCACCTGCATTGCACAAGCAACAGGTTTGCCTGCCGCTGGCGCATTCTTGCCCATTTTGCTAGATGGGTTTGGTGTGGGTTTGGACATAGATATCTGGATCAGTAAGAAAAACTTCGTCCCTTTTACACAGTAACCAGTGCCTGATCGGTCTCCGAAAGCATTTGCACACTCGTAAAGATTCCAGTAGAATGTTGACTCAAACATTGAAAGGAAGATGTAGCAGCGGCAAATCGACTAAATCAACTTGTGTACGTTGCAGCGCAGACTCAAGCATGCAAGGCTGGAAAAGAATCATCGGAGGAGGTGGTACCCATGTCATTATTCCAAAAACTTCTTATATTTCCTCGTGTCCTCTTTGCGTATTGAATGAAAAGGACTTGGGTAGGGAACTCAAGAGCACTCCATAGAAGAGCTGGGTGTGGGATTTTTTTACTGGGGCTTAGACTTTCCATTGAAGTATAAGAAGCCCCAACAAGCATTTGGCAATTCGCGAAACAGGTTCTGGACTCTTGTGACTGACTTTGAAATGGAAAGGCGATAGGTTTGGAAACATGAAAGAGACTCGCTCTGATTTTCAACCGAGAATGTTTCGTTGCTCACTTTCGAACCGGCTGTATCACTGATGACCTTACTAACCTTAGTCAATGAAATCGCAGTCCCTCATAGACTTGAAACTGCCCAAGGATACTTTCACTGTCAGCTCGCCTTGTTCACAGAAATTTTTCAAAGATGTTTGCAGCTCAATCGCTGACAATGTTGTCTGGCTTAGCAGTTGAATCAAGAGAACGTGTTTCACAGCTGTCCAACAAGTCTCAGGCCGGCCGGTTCCATTGCCCGCATTCATCATTGCTCGCTTACAAGACTATTGGGAAATGTTGGCGTGTTGCCTGCAGGAAGAACCAGCCGTGCGCGCTGCAGGTCTAGACCCGGATAAAGAGATCAGGGTGCCTGTCTCATTTGTTCCAATACCTAATGTGCGTATCTCTGTAGAAGGTAGCCAGTAGGTATGCTTTTCGTCGGTACAGGGAAATTGGGTACTAAAGTACAGGTACAGGAATGTGCCACGCTACGCTAGCAATGTGTTTGGACACCGTACACGGTACGTTTGATGCTGATGATCATTATTGATGAGGTCTGTGTGCCTTACATACGTGCGAGAATCGTCACTCGTTGACTCTACCGTACGGTCCTCACGTCATGGTCGAAATTCTGATGTATGCATTCGGCACTCGGTTACAGGCTCTTACAGCCCAGATCGGTGACGACTTACAGTCACTTACTGGTAGAGCAAGGTTTTACGCGAGCGCGCCCATTCCGAATTTCTCGCACACCAGGCAGCACATGCTGATCTGCTGAGTCAGCCATGGGCTGGCGCGCACCGTAGTAGAGGGTTTTGCGCAGCCGCAATTTGTGCCACGGATCGTCGTGCGCGCGATTTGAGTTGCCTCGCGCCGAAAGCGGCCCGACTCACTGCTGACGGTCAGCCGCCTACAACTGCCGCCTACTGAGCCAAGTAGAAAAGGT